GATTTTGATGTTATGTTTCTATTTATTATTTTTTAGCATCATATAATTTTCATATTTATTTAAACATTTTTAATGTAATTAAGAACAAAAAATCAACAAAAAATAAGGCCACAGCTTATTTCAACCAGTTAGGTATAATGATAATTATAAAATGATTTATGATATTTTACAACTTTTTAATATTTTTTGTGCCCCTCCTTGTTGTCAACGACCATTTGTAGTCGTTTTGGTATGGAATCCACCAACTTCCTGGTAACTTCTGGCCCGATTTTCGACCACTCCTCAATCAAGGCCGTTTTTAGATCAGATTTGTTCGAGATTTGCCGTTTTCGAATGTTTATATCCAAAACGGCCCACAAATTTTCGATAACGTTCATGTCTGGAGACTGAGCCGGCGGTTGCATAACATGCGGACAGTTCCAAACAAGCCAGGTTTGAACAATGCCCGACTTATGTTTCGGGTCATTGTCTTGGTAGAACCGAAAATCTTCCCGAATGCCCAGCTTGTCGGCGCTTTCGTGCAAATTTGACTTCAAAATATCAAGGTAAAGATGTTTATCCATTGTTGATTCAATGAACGCCAAGTTCCCAACTCCTGACGCAGCCATACAGGCCCAAACCATTACACTTTTACACTTCCTCCGCCGTGCTTAACTGTTGACTGTTAACTGTTGTCGTGCGTTATATTCTCGCGTACAAAGCGATAGATGATGCTCTGGACCAGCGGTCGGCACACACATACGTTGACTTTTTCTTTTATATTTGTGTGAGTAATTTGCACTGGGCAGCTCATCGATGTGTGTGTGCAGACCGCTGTTCTACGTTATACATGTGCGAGCAGCGCGGCGGCAGAACAAACCCCTATGCTCACTTAATAGGGCGCTGCCGACCGCTGCTCTGGACTGTCCCATCACTCAACCCAACCATCTCAGCAATTTTCCTGCGAGAATGTCCGTTTTTAAAATGTTTTAGGACAAGTTCTTGCTGATCCAACGTAGTACGCGGTCCCATTTTGCCAAACTAATTATGCGTGAGTGATCCATGCACAAATTTGACGCGACTAAACTTGATCAGACTTAGAATGTAAACACCAAAGCATAGAAAAAAAAGAACCGTTAAATTGCATTGGAACGCTGATTTCCAAGGCGGGAAAGTACTTGGTTGAAATAAGCTGTGGCCTTATTTTTTGTTGATTTTTTGTTCTTAATTACATTAAAAATGTTTAAAAAAATATTAAAATTATATGATGCTAAAAAATAATAATTAGAAACAACATCAAAATCGTGCATTCAAATTATTTTCATACGTGGCTTGGTTTAGCTTTTATAAGTTGTTGAATTTTTTTTTTGGCAGGTGGTTGAAATAAGCTGTGAGCCACTGTACATGAATACAAAACATATCCTTTTTTGAACCACATGTTCGGTAATTTTACATGTTCAAAACAAGTAATAATTTCTATATTTCCAATAGCCTATTTTTATACCCGTTACTCGTAGAGTAAAAGGGTATACTAGATTCGTGCAAAAGTATGTAACAGCTAGAAGGAAGCGTTTCCGACCCCATAAAGTATATATATTCTTGATCAGGGTCACTAGCCGAGTCGATCTAGCCATGTCCGTCTGTCCGTCTGTCTGTCTGTCTGTCTGTCTGTCTGTCTGTCCGTCTGTCCGTCTGTATGAACGCTGAGATCTCAGAAACTACAAAAGCTAGAAGGTTGAGATTTCCCACACATATTCTTTGGCTTCCTACGCAGCGCAAGTTTATTTTAGCCGAGCGCCACGCCCCCTCTAACGCCCACAATCGCCCACTAACGATTTTAAAATGGGTCCTGCGCCCACATCTTTAAAGATTTCCGAGAAGTATAAATGCAATTTTGTTGTGTATATTTATACCTATCGAAATGTAGAAGACATTTTTCAAATCGGACCATTCATTAAAAAGTTATACGCAATCAAAAATTATATATCTATCTCCCTCGCACTCCCTTTAGCTGAGTTACGATTATTAGTCGGGACACCAACCCGACACAGCGTTCGCACTCCCTTTAGCTGAGTGACGGGTATTAGATAGTCGGGACAACAACCCGACTATAGCGTTCTCTCTTGTTTCTTATTGCATAACAAAGAAGAGCATTTTAAGTACAGAACTCAACTGGAAAGGTTGTTTTTATTTCAATATAATCATTCCTTTCACAGTATAAAGAATGTCACTAGATATCATAATATCGCATAACAGATCCGGAAGTCCTGGTCTGCCCACCCTACCATTGCTCGCTCATCCCTACTGCCGCGTTGCCCCTCGCTGCCGTCTTGCCACCGTTGCGACGTCCGGTGGCCACCTCCTTGGCGATAGGCGTCCACGGCTCGTTTTTGTAAAATAGCAGTGAACGCTATTCCCCGTAGTGACGAACCGCAGCGGGAGTGTGAACGACATGTTCACGTGAAAATAAAAAGAATTTAAAACAAAGAAAATTTGAAAAATTATACCAGACTTGTCGGCCTTAATGCATTTTGAATTAAAATACTCGGCGATCGGTGATAAACTTCTAATCGGATAATTTGTACAAAAGCTATAATTGTTTAAAGTTGCAGTATAAATATTAATTATTATTGAAGTGCCTTTATACAAATAAGCAAACTAATTTTTTGGGAGGATGCACTCTTCGTATTAGATTTATTCTTTAGTTTTTACTTGCAGACTTATTTGATTTCGTTGATCTGTTTAAATACAGTTTTAAATGTATTCCCGCGCTTCTAGAAACTTTTGTTAGCCTCGGCATTTTAGATATTACAACTAATTGTCGAAAAAGCTCTCGACCTTAGATGTTCCTAACGTGTTTACAATTATCGATTTGATAGTTATAGTATCGATTTCGTTAATATCGATAAAAAATACTAGGTTAATATTGGCCGTGTTCAGCAGAACAACATATGGGCAATTCTCTGGGGATGTAACCAAGCCAAAAAGCGTGAAACTTAAAAAAACATATTTCTATATGATTTTGCACTGATATTTGATTCTAGTAAGATGGATCCTCAACTAAGCTAAGTAATTTGAGTATCCTTGGATAATTGTCTAGGACAATACCTGATATATACACAAAAGTAAATTTTTTGGTATTTTTTAAAGTTCCTCTTAAACGGTTTTTTTGACCTTAAGGTTACAGAAAAACCACCTAAGAAAATGACGGAAAAAACTGCCGCGAGCGACATGTAGCGTGTGACAGTCACTTCGATGCCAATAAAAAATTAACCACTCAATATTTCGTAATCAAATTAAATACATTTTAAAGAAGAAATAACAAGGAGCACTATGAAATTAACTGAATTCTATTGGTGTCGCGTGCGAAAGTCTTGGTTTTTTTTATATATCTTAAAAACGGAAAATGTTCAAAGTCAGCCGAATTGCCCATATTCACTTGTCACTGATGGATCAGTAAACAGTGTTCAAGTTTGTTCTGCTGAACGCTCATGAAACGTTTCGATGACGTAAAAGTAAAAGGTATATCAAATATTGCGCGCGCAATTAAAAAATATATATATTTTTCCCGCCCCCGTAACTGCAGCACTGCTAGCAGCTATCGTGGATACATAAATATCAAAAATGGCTGAACAATTAAAACGAAATCCACCGATGGTGGATGGTTTTTTTTTTAAATTATTATGTTAATAAGTTTCGATATTTTGACTATCGATACATGTCACAAACCATGTATCATGTATCAAGGAAAGGTGGCGTACTTTTTTTACGCTACCTGATCACTGATCACTGTTGCATAATTCTTGCACCATGATCAGTCATCATGTGCGTTCAGCAGAACTATCGTAAGAAATCCATCAGTGATCAGTGATCATGTTGGTCTGCTGAACGCGGCCATTGATATTAACAGATTAAACTTCTTGCGCAAGCGGAAAAATAAATTTCGTTTGCTTTTTAAAGTTTTTGTCTGATTGACTTAAAACTTTTTTTGTATACTCAAAATACATTTTGGGTGAACTTCCGTTTAGCTCCCACTCCCGATCTGTTCCAAACATTCAGTATCTACGTTATTTTGGGTCCTGACTAGGTCCATCACTAGAAAACTCTTTGACGCCATTTTTATGGCGGGATATTGAAGTATTTTTAAATGTCCACTACCTATAAAAATACTTATTTTACATTTTTTCGAAAACCTTTAGGTTTACGAACAAAGTGTTGAATACCGTTAACCGTTATTTTGCAAGATTTTGACTATTCCAGTAATCAGAACCAAAAAATACGTCGATATGGAAAGTTTGAACAAAATCGCGCGTTGGAGCTAAACGAAAGTTTATCCGAACGCCGTATGTGGCTTAACTCGCATTGATGAGAACTTTCAGGTTCCAAGCTGTGGTTATATTTTCCGTATTGCTCTGTATAATGAAGCTTGAACATTTTTTATACCCGTTACTCGTAGAGTAAAAGGGTATATTAGATTCGTGCAAAAGTATGTAACAGCTAGAAGGAAGCGTTTCCGACCCCATAAAGTATATATATTCTTGATCAGGGGCACTAGCCGAGTCGATCTAGCCATGTCCGTCTGTCCGTCTGTCTGTCTGTCTGTCCGTCTGTCCGTCTGTATGAACGCTGAGATCTCAGAAACTACAAAAGCTAGAAGGTTGAGATTTTCCACACATATTCTTTGGCTTTATTTTAGCCGAGCGCCACGCCCCCTCTAACGCCCACAATCGCCCACTAACGATTTTAAAATGGGTCCTGCGCCCACATCTTTAAAGGTTTTCCGAGAAGTATAAATGCAATTTTGTTGTGTATATTTATACCTATCGAAATGTAGAAGACATTTTTCAAATCGGACCATTCATTAAAAAGTTATACGCAATCAAAATATCTACATATATCTATCTCCCTCGCACTCCCTTTAGCTGAGTTACGATTATTAGTCGGGACACCAACCCGCGTTCGCTGAGTGACGGATATTAGATAGTCGGGACACCAACCCGACTATAGCGTTCTCTCTGGTTTTTTTTTAAACTAATTTTATTATCTTTTAAAAGGCATTGGACCTAACACACTTATTAATTGGTACACAAATAAAGTAATCATTCAGTAACATGGCGTGGAGTGAGCACCAGGACTTCGTATGACCTGACTCCGACTTCTTGACCCTGATGTGGTATAAATATTTTCTTGAAGGAGGGATGCACCTTTCCCAGCCGCATGATTCCTTGATATTCACCGCGTCCCGTGTAGGTGACCTCGCCCCAATGCGAATAGCCCGTGGGCAGCGCGTCTTCCGGATAGGTGCCATCCTGACCATCCACCCACTCGTAATCGCAATCCTTAAGCGTCAGCACCTCCACACCATCGGTTAAGGCATAGGCAGTTCCGTCCCACCCTCCGTAGGCAACCTTCTCCCTCGGCACGTAATGGACCGGCAGGCGATCGTTATTGAAATAGGCTCGGGCCACAAACGAGGGATTCCCGTTCTCGTTGACTCCGCTTTGAAGGGCTCCCTCGGGAGGCTCATACGGATCCTCGGTACCGTCATCCGCATCCAGGCTCATGGGCACCCACTGAAAATGAGTCTCCATTTTGTAGTATTTTATTTCACTAGGCCCCCCGTCACAGCTCTCCGGGACTGGGCCAAAGTTTAAATGAAGTCTTGAGACAAGTTGCTTGTGGCAGGGCGACCGACACTGCGGGCAGGTGAGGGATCTACACTCAAAAAAAAAACAGCCCGAAATCGCCATTAAATCAAGAAATTCGCCATGAATTTCAGTCGATGGCGATTTACCGTATTTTTTAGAAAGGAATTTTCTAAAATTTAGAAAAAAATTTCTGAAAAGCAGAAATACTTTTCTAAAATCAAGAAAAATTGCCATAAAATTGCGAAAAATTTCCTTAAATCCAGAAAGTACTTTTCTTGAAAATAGAATTTTTTTTCTTAAAATAAGAAATGACTTTCTTTATTTTCAGAAAATTTTATTTATTTTAATAAAATGTATACATATTTATTTTACTATTTTATTTCCTAAACAAGAAAGAGAAAAGAAAATAAAAAGGATGAAAAGAAAATTATTAATATTTCCTAAACAAAAAAGGAAAACAAAACAAAAAAGATAAAAATAAGATAATAAATATTTCCTAAAGAAAAAAGAGAAAAGAAAACAAAAAAAGATAAAAATTACATTATAAATATTTCCTAAACAAAAAAGAAAAAAGAAAAGAAAACAAAAAAGATAAAAATTATTAATATTAATATTAAGTAGGTATTTAATATATTACCTATTATTAAAATTTACTTACTGCCAAATTATCAACAATACCTGAAATCGAAATTATTCCTGCAATCGAAAATAAAAATGAATATTAGAGAAGGATAGTATTTGCGGCCTGCAATAGTATGGCCTTTGCTTACCATAAATTTTCACACACTTACCAAATTTATATTTAAATTTATTTAAATTGCTTACCTATTAATTGACTCTTAGAGGGATCGCACTTTAACTTTCTTAAATAGGCTCAACACAAACTTATTACTTTGAATGCTCATCCAAAACTGAGCACAAGGGTTCAAAATGCAGCGCAACGCAAGCAACTCTCTCGCGAGAGACTGCATTTCCAAAACAACAACGCAATAAAGGTTACAGCTACGCACAAGAAAATTCTCGATCATACGCACAAACACACATAAACATATACATACATACGGCAAAACTGTCGTCGCAACGCGCCGCGGACTAACCCCTTGTCTTCTTCTTTTTCGTTTCAAAGAAAGAGTGAGAAGCATAAAAGAAATACAAAAAGTTTTTCTTAAATCTATGGTGATTTTCTAATTCTACTTTTTTGTTTTCAAGAAAACATTTTTTTTTAATTCAGAAAAATTCTTAAAATTTACAAAAATTTACCGTATTTTTTATGGCGACTTTCTAGATTATAGGAAGGGCTGAAGTACATTTTTTCTTAATTTAATGGCGAAATCGCCATTAATTTAGGAAAACTTTTGGAGAGCAAACTAGGAAAAAACACCATTGATTTAAGAAAAAAATAATTTTTCTAAATTTTAGAAAGGTTTTTCATAAAATTCTGTTTTTATGGTCTTTTTTCCTAGATTCAAGAAAACCATTTCTAAAATTCAGAAAATTTTCTAAGATTAAGAAAAAATTTCATTTTATGGCGATTTTCTAAAATTTAGGAAAAAAAATTTTTTGAGTGTAGCCAGCCATCGCGACAGGCAGTTCTTGTGGAAAACATGGCCGCACTTGTTGATGGACCAAATAATGGCGTTTGCACAGAAAAACTCGTTGCATATAGAACACAGCACATTCAACGCCGGCGATGAGTCAGCTTTAGTGATTGTGTCATCCGCGCTGCTGTTTTTTTGACTCTCCATGTCGCTGTTCCCTGCCTCAATGAGCTGCGCGGAACTGCGAATATGTTTTTTATTTATATTTTTGTTGATGTTTGGAGAGAACGCATACCTTATATTGGCTTTACCCTCTTAACAGAGCGGCACAGTAAGAGCACGCAATGATACCACCAGCGCTATTCGTATTTGGCAGCAAGAGAAACACCTTTAGTTCTAATGCGTTGGTTATTTATTAAGAGAGGCCAAACGAGAGACTTATATTCAGCTTTAAATTGGTTATGACCTTGAAGGTGAGCTCGACTGGATTATTTGAAACTCGCATGGGGCTCGTGTGAATAAGGTCCGTTTTCGGTCAGACTTAAACTCGAACAGTTATTTATCCTGTTGGGTAATAATCATTAGCCACAAACCACATAAATTTATTATTTATATTTAAACGCTTGAGAGAGCACGTCTCTGGTAAGATCAACCAATGCTATCAGCAAAACCTTATCGGGACTATGACGTATAACTGTGCGCACTGTAGCAAACTATGCATTCTTTTGCCTAATCCGGGAGTATGTGACAAGGCAAAGAGAAATTTAAATGTATAAGAATTTTTCGAAAAAAAACTTACATAAGTCCTTAAAAGAAATTAGATGTTGTCAAAAATACTTTAGATTATTGTGTTAGCTGCTTAATGTAGGCTAATCCTGAAAAAAATCGCCCTGTGCTTTGGAAAGTTCTCCAAAATCTTGAGTTTGGAATAACTTTTGGGCGGAAAAAAATTTATTCATGTTGATCAACGAACTTAATGGATATAAAACGTTGAGTAACATGAATACATAACAGAATGGTATACTTTTTGAATATAAAATGTTACATTTTCGAAAAATATGGAATATGTTTTCAATTTGTTACATACTGAAAGCTATTATAGTGACAACTTTGAAGGTTTTTTTTCGTAAATTTGTGATTCAATGATTTAGTTTTTATAAAACACAGAATTGAAATGTTGCTTTTGTTTTTATTGATGACGATTATATGGTGTTTTGATATTTCCTTTTACACATTGGCGTTCTGTTTGATCCACGACCTCAGGGCACCCACATAGGTGTACATCGCTGGGCGTCCCTTGGCCCCACAACCGAATCCCCAGGACACCACGCCGAAAAGCTTGCCATCGACGGTCAGCGGTCCACCGGAATCTCCCTGGCAGGAGCTAACTTGTCCACTGGGATGTCCTGCGCACACCATGCGATCCGTGAGGCCGGGGATGTTCTGGGAATTGCAGTAGTCTCGGCTCCACAATTGCACCTGGGCGAACTTAAGGCGATTGGGCAGCTGGAGGTTCTGATTGATGGCGCCGAAACCGCTGATCATGGCCATCGTATCGGCCGCGTAATTTGAGTCCGAGTCCGCAAGTTGAATGGTCCTTACAGCTCCACCCATCAGAACCGGGCTGCTCAACCTAATCAGCGACATATCAAAGTCCTGACTCTGCGGATTGTACTGCGGATGGATGATAAATTGGGCAATGTTGAAGGTCTGACCGTTTCCGGCACCCAGATCGTTGGTTCCCACGATGGCCTTCATCTGCCCCGGATTCTGACCCATGGTGCAATGGGCAGCTGTCACGATCATCGTCTCGGAGATCAGGGAACCACCGCAATGATGTCGACCATTCAGTTGAAGGGAGACCTGATGGGGAAATTGTCCTGGTGCTGCAAACTGGCCTCCAATAATCCGCGACTCTTCCGACATATCCATCTCGCCGAGAACAAAAGTCACGGCGAGGAGAAGGATTGAAAGCTTTACTAGATTGTTAACCGAAGACATTTCAAGGGTTGAGTGTGTTGAGTGCGGTTCAGTTGTTCTCTATTTATAGGTCTTGTTTGGTGTTACGTTTGAGTTGTTTTATCGCCCGAATGGCACACTTTTGTGTGGGAAGAAGCCCCGATAAGTGCGGTACTAGGTGGGGGGTCATTATTTTGATTGTTAGCTCACTTTATTAATTTTGGGAAGCCAAAAATAAAGGTAATGTGGTATATGCGGACAATAGGGGATTATTTCAGTATATATATTGAATTAAATATTCCTTTTCTTGCCGAATTTAATATCTACGAATATTTTCTAGCCTTTCCAAGGTGTAAATAGCTTTTTAAAATTATCTTAAGTACCGTCCCAGTTTTTTCTCTTCAAATTAACCCGTCAAATGCCAATTTCTATGTAGGTCACACAGCAGGGGCTCGACTCGTCGCAGTTTATGTGCGAAATTTAAATTTCCGCCACTTACAAATCAAGTTCACAAAGCGCTGCGGTTTTTTTCTTAAGAATATGTAATTTTTTAAGCATTTACAGTTGTAAGAACTTAGTGAGACGAAGAATTTGATGATTTTGATCCAGTCTGATGTCCATTGCTGATCATCCACACGTTCTTCCAGATCTCGTGCTTATATATATTGCGATAGTTCTGTACGGATACCAGGAATTCTGGGCCAAACAGGGTTTGAATTAAAACATTTTCAGCAGCCAGATTTCGATTTGTAGTTCCGTGTACAATCACCAAGGGCGAATTGCTCTGTAGTTAGAGATATTAAATGTGATTTTTCAGGACAAGGATAATTTTAATATAAGTTTACAGGAATATCTTCTCCTTCGCTTTCAAAACGCTGTTTTGGATCAACGTGTCTACAAAACCAATTCGTATAGGCCAGGGGTATATCGTTGTCGGGACACATAATTCTCTAAATGTTCAGATTTAGTCAATTGTTAATTAAATAATAAAATATGTTAGAGGGTTTTCTATACTTTTTTTCCCATTAAGGAATACCCAACTTACGCTGCGATGCACAAGCCCCAAGTTCAGGTTAAGTTCTCCGTTTTTGTGCGACAAATAGGTGGCATTGACGCCCTGCTGAAGGTTGCACCGCTTGGGCCCACTGTATAAAACTATGGGGTCGTGTTCCGAGGCCATGCACTGCAGCTGGAATCGCTGGCCATACTTGATGTTCTCCCCAGTGCGATCCCGACCATCTCCACTGACTATCTTGAAGGAGTTTCGCACACAGGGTCGCTTCGAGGGCGCCACAGTCAGCTCGCAGTCCTCATTGATTGACTGGCTCTTTCGCACCACCTTTTCGTTGATGACCACCGACAAAGCGGCATTCAGATCGGAGGTGTCCATGTCACTGATGTTCATATAGATGGGCATTAGTTGCACAATAGCCCCGAAAATTATCGTCTGTTTGGGGGCAGCCAAGACGACCTCCTTGTGGAAATTATCATACAAAGTGCGAGCTTTCTCCACCAGAAGTTCGCCTCGATCGCGTTGTTTCTTGAAGTTCACAATTTTGTCCTAAGGAACGGGAGTGCTAATATTGCTTACACATTATATACGAGCATATTTTGTACTCAACCTCCTCTAGGCAATTTTCCTCCACCCAATTTCCTATCCTGACACTAGGCTGAAAACGAGCGGAAATAGAATCCGTGTCGCCCACTCTGCACGGCATATTGCTATGTTTACAGGACCGAAAAAGCAAATAATTTTCAACTGCAAATTAAGGAATAATATATGGCTCAAGCCAAGAATTGTAGATATCGATGTGGAGTTTTTAAATACAAATGTTGTTCTAAATGTTCTTTTTGGGCTGGTAATGTAGGAAAACTAAATGGTTACTAGATTGAATAGGTCAAAATATTCCTATCGGCACCTTACCTGAAAACTATTTGACGATTATTGAATCGCCGGGAAGAGTCTCCTGGGACACTTTAGAGACTTTAGCGATTCTTCCAGAAGAGTTTTTAGTGACTCCTTTAAAAGAGTCTTAGGCGACTCTTTGAAGAGTAAATTGCTGCTAGTTGCTGATTGAGAGCAATCTGAATGCGATATCAAAATAATCTTCAAGAGGAGCTAGCGACTCTTCCGCTATTGAAATTGTTTGCTGGGAACTAATTGCAATTTCATCACATTACGAAACAGAAGACTACTTTTAGGCATCCGAGGCAAATGTTATCTGTTCAAAGCACACACGGCGTATGAGTAATGTCAGATCCAATATTTTGCACTGGCACACATTTCCGTGCACAAAGTTAGCTATTTGCTGCTCTCCGACAACTCAAACAGCGATGATTGGCCATGTTTGCTGTAATCCAACTCTGCTAAGTCCATTTCTGTCGGACTCTTGGCGCTGAGGAGTCGGCAATCTTGGAAGAGACATTATTGGCCGACGCCCCATGATCATTAGCAAATCTCCCGGTTGTCTGGGCCAAATATCGGTGACAAGATAAGCCATTTGTATCAACATTTAGCACATCGCCCGCTGTTAATTGTGCTCGTTATTCATTATCGCCGATGTCGGTGGGTTGTTGTGGTTTTACCTGTTGCTGATTTACCTGCCGGTGGGTAGATGTACCTGGCTGGTTGGATCGGCGTGCACATCACGTGAACGTGAGCGAGCAGCTCGGCCGATTTGCGGCACGTTTCTTATCTAGCCACTCGATTGCAATGGGGGCTATATGCGATATTGTCGCCGGGGCTCCAAGTTTTATGACTATATTTACCTCCGCTACAGGGCGCGCCTTCTAATCGAGACATCCAATGTTCAGCTTGACACTGATTTATTTCATATTTTTTTGCACCAGAATTTACGATGTCCTAGATCACATTTTCAGGTTGAGGAAAAAAGATAGCAAACAAGTGTCGAACTTATGGTCCGTAGTTGGAGCCAAAGTTTTTCACACTGCTCACTTCGTAGGAGGGCACTTCCACCTGTTTCTCCCGGCAATCTTTCCTCAAAACGCATAGTGATCTGTTTTCATCGATTACATAACCAATCCGGCAGACACAGGGGCCTCCACAAATTCTTGGAGGACATCCGCGAGACTTGTATTGACAGGTTTCTTCGCAACGGGATGAACAGTACGACCTTGTGGCATTAATTCCACAGTCCAAGGACTTGGGATATGGTGTTGGTAGAAATATATAGCCCACCACCACTCCTAAAGTTAAAAGTTTTGGTAACAAATGTATCGCTAACGTGATCATCCGGCCGTTGAAGTTTGAGAAATGGTAGTAGTTGGTAGCGAAATGGTAAGTGGAACCGATTTAAACAGCAATCTAGTTAATTTATTCACAACTAGTTTTAGCTGAAACGTTCCGCTTGACCAATAAAGATTAAAAGTATTTTCTCCATAGTGATATGAATAATCTTGTAAGTTAGTATGCCTGAGATCTGCGAAATGTATATTTTTACATAAGTAATAGTAAACATAATGCACTCATATTTCTTCGGTAAATATAGAAACTCTATAAATTGTCATCAGGTTAAATAAAATAAATAACTTGTCTTATTGGACCTACAAATTTCTGAATTTACGCTTACCGAAATATTCTAAACTCTTACTTAGAGAATTGTTCAACTTGTTTAATTTTCAAATAAAAGTACAGCCTTTTTAAAGTTTATTTTTGGTATTAGGATACTCCAAACAGAAAAAAATGTATTTTAGTATTGTCTAGTGTTATAATTCTGATAAGATAGTATTATTATTGCAAGTTAATCATAATTAACTTTTAAAATGGGGCACTGTTATTTCTTGATTTCCAATCTCTTCAATTAGATGACTCAACGTTTGATTCAGTGGAAAATCACTTGGAATTTCATCAAAGATAATTCCCAATAATCAAATGGAATTCCTTTTCTTTGTTTTGCACCTGAGAGCATGCAATCTATTCCCTTGCAGGCCACAAAACGCGATTCGTTATCTTGGAAAGAAAGATGAAAATCCAAACCGTCATTAATTGCGTCAAACGACAGGCCCCAAAAAGCTTAGCAGATCTAATGTGGCGCTGGAATATCTTCATCGATCCCCCAATTCCGTCACCAAAACACGCTCTGCCCTATCTCAAGTTGCAAAATACAATTAATGACAAGATAATGCGGGCACTAGCCACTGAAAGGGATCAGTTAAATATGATTTGGCACGGGCAATTGAATGGCACTTGAACCTGTCATACTTATAGCTCCGGTGATAAGAGATCTCTGAAAGGTTATACATAGTCCGTTGTTGGGCTAATCCGGTAACCACAATCCGAAATCATGTGACTAAGTTTTCCCCGGTTTAAGTTAATGGCCACATGAATGGGCGGGACAATTTATATTATACATCGAAGCTGACTACTGCTGGTCAAGATTGTGTTTTACGACTCTTTATAGACCCGAAATCAGTTGATATTGGCTACCTGGAGAACAGAACTGGCCTTAGTCTTATCGCTGACCACAGTCGGTTTATGGAGCATTGGTACACTGAGGAGAAATCAATTGTACTATAAATAAGTGCAGCCACCTTGTTAGAACATCTGATTTGGATGTTTTTCTGTTTAAAAAAATATTTTGTTTTAGTGTTAAGGGAAAACAGAAGAAACTTTATAAAAGTCAAAGTTGTTAAAGCTGTTTCGTCGCTCCACTGTATCACTTTTCCTATGCCCATAGCCTTTTCTTGACGTCAATACTGGGTTTTTAAAGTCCCCCCTTATAAATCTCCTTATGAGGCTTGTCAATTTGTCAATATCGTAAACGTCTCTTTCGCCCATCGCCATGTGTCTCTCATGCGGGCGAGAGATTAATTTAATAATTGCCAGAAAGTGCGAGTGTGCTCACGTGAGCAGCACACGATTTGCGGGAGTGAAAGAGTATACATTTTCTATAGAGAGGCCGGAGTAACTGCAGTCGAGTCGCTCTCCTCAACCGGTTACTCGAAATCGATTCGCAGGGTCAGCCGAAAGTGGGAGTGAGATCCTCGTAGGCAGCTTCATTGTACCATTTGCCAGTGGTTTACAGCGCTGTTTTATTATCACAATGGGACATTATCACCTGGCGGACAGGTATTTATCAGCTGAACGAAGCTCGGCCGGTGAATCAAATTGAGCGCTTCGTGTTTCCTAGCGCCGACGTCGCTGCCTCGGTCGACTTTGCTGCTCCGCGAGCAAAAACAGAAACAGAATTATAAAAACGTTCAATTAGCCGAGGTAGTAAGTCATTACAGTGCCGACGCTCGTGGCGAGAAGAGCGAGTGAAAAACTCCAAAAGAAAGTTTTTCCCATCGGTTGTGCGTTGAAAATTCGCCTGGCGAGTCCATAAATGTGAGTGGTTAAACTAGAGTCTAAGTTGATAGAATTCCGTTGTGCTGTCAGTTCACTCATCCGCACCTTTGTTTTTGTCCGCAAATTCGCTGAGATCCAGTTAATTGGCCCCACTGCGAAAAAGAGTGTAAACACCTTATTAAGAACGGAGAAGTCGAAACAGCTGATTCGAATTTTTAAAAAGTTGTTTTTCAGTGCGTTTGCGCGTGTGTTTGCGTTCGGCGTGAGGTGAGTGAGTTTCTGATTAAAACCACCAGCCAATTAAATCCACAAAATTTAAAAATATGTTTTAAAAACCCTGTCTCGCGACAAAAAGATGAACAAAGGCAAAATAAAACGAGCTAAGTCAGCAGAACAAAAGTACTGCTGTTTATTGTCAAGGAACTCGATTTAAGTGAATGATTTACGATCACAAATTAAGCATTATTTTGTGTAACCATACCATTCACTTCCACGCAGACAAGTGGTTAGGTGATTAATGGTATTACAAAACCTATTTACTTTCATTTCGAATCCCAATTCGATAGCCGACTCAAGTGCTAAAATGCGCGCCGATAAGCAGATAAGCCCGGCCAAGAGACATACCCCTTGAAACTCACAAGTCCGCGGATCCAAACAGTTTCCCACTGCTCGAGAACAGCAAAAACAATGTTAAGAATCTGATAATACCAGCTGCACTACGATAAAGTTACCAGTTAGCAAATGAATTTTAATATATCTAAAACTAAAAAACATAGAGCTTTTTTGTATCCAACAATGTTCCTAATAAAATTCTTTGTGGACATACAATTTTCCTAGGACTGCCAGTAAATCATGAAAAGTTTAAGCAATCTTTGATGGCGGATTTTTCCCGAGTGTACAGCCACTCGGCCGAATCGAATGTGAATGTGAGTTGAGGTTGAGTCTCGGGCCTGAACTTGAACTTGAAAAGCTGAATGCAACACTAGCAGCCCGTGGAAATGAAAATTGAATTGGAACTGGAAATGGTGTAGAAATGTTAGCTGCAATTGGAACAAATAGCGAATAGCATTAAAATAAATTAAGAGGAACCCATCCCCATTAAAATGCCAATCTGCGGTCGTAGAAACTGAAAATGAAGCACGGGTGGAAAATTTGCCACTGCCTTGTCACGGATCCGTCGTATAAGCGACGAAGGCTGGTTTATGGACCAGCGATAAGGTCCAATTATGACATAATTAAGGCAATCTGATGCCAGACGTCTTGGGTTTCGGGCCTTTATAGCCGCATCCCGGTCAGCCGAAAAAAGGGTGAATGAAGTGTAATTAGCACGTGTTTCGGGCCAAGAGGAAGTATCTCGTTTCGAGTCCGGAGTTCGTATTGCCGTGCAATCTATGAGAGGTCCCCCACTCGATGGGTGCTCTTAGATAAGCGTATTTGATTTACGGCCACAGTCAACCCTCATGGCAACCTGATCGGTGAATTTGGAGAAGAGCTCGAACGGCAATCTGCCAATAAATCTGTCTGACTGGGAATTTACAAGCAACCGGCTTTTCGGCCAGAAGTGTTGAGGAGTATTCTATTGGCTAAATCGAACTTTGCCAGCCTCTCTATAATAGTCCACTTATCTTGCCGAAATTTCCGCCACTTCAGCGAATTCTTTAGCGCCCCGGCGTACTTTTCAATCCGATTAAGGGGCGTTAGCGATAGCGATTAGATTCATAAATTTTTGTTGGCCCCTTCACTGCATTAAATATGGTTTTGTGGCGTCCATAAATTTTGGGCTTTTATTAATATTTACTAATGCACTTTTAATGCCAGCAAAATGCACCTATAAACTACAGTCAACTGACAGTTGCGACGCAATGAACAATTAGCAATAAACAATTGCAATTTAAATTTATTACATTAATTATAGAGTTTCCGAGGCGTGTGCTGGAGATCCCTAGTCCCTTGGGGGACTTTTTTTTTCTATTTTTATAGAAGTGCAAGTAAATGTTATTTATTACCGGATTGAATTCATTTGAATCTGTCGTGGATTATATAATACCTGGGCAATAAAGATCAGTGAGATCCGTGCCAGGAGTAAGGCAACCATCGCTTTCGACTGCTTTCAGCGATCTGCGGTCGTTTAGCGGCCGTAACATGCAAAATCATTCCGTCTAAGTTTGATAGCCCAAATGTTTACCTAAATGTCAGATTGCTAATTGTTTAAATTGATCAATATTTGTGACAGAAATACGGCAAAGGAAACTCGAGATCTGCGCTACCTTACTGACTGATCTTATTAAGTAACCATAGAGATCACGTTTCTATTTTTGATCACCGGCTAATAAAGAGATAACGTAGAGCAAATACTGTAAATTTCTGCAGTGCCTCGGTTCATTGGTTACACAATAGAGGCATTCATAAATCTATTAGCTCTGATAAGGAGTGATAAAGTATTGCAAATAAAATGTACATATTTCATGCCATTGTATTTAAATAAAATGTACCTGTACTCGTTTATCGAATAGAACTAAACCAAGCTTATCTCTTCCAAGAAATCGAGCTTATGGAGATCTTGAAGCATTTCTACTGTAATTAGTGGGGTGCCCACTTGACATGTTTATAGTCATTTTTTTGTTTGCCGCTCTCTGGCATTCAAAACAGCCCAATTAAGGCATTGTGTGGGCTCAATTTCTAAGAAATCTGCGCAAACAAATCAACACGGGGAGAGCAGGTTGGCCAGACGGCTCACGGAACTTTCCAAAAACGTTTTTTTGGGCTGCTCTGACGTGCAAACAATCCGAACAACAATTGAAATTCGGCTCACACAAAAACTCAAGTGCGCAACTGTGTTATTGTTATATTGACTTCGGCTCTTTAAATTTAAATACATGTAGAATCAAAGCGCTGTTATAATCAATTTACCTGGAAATTTGCCTCGCAAAACGCCGTAACCAGTTTCGTCAAAAGGGAAACATTGTCTTGGTTTTCGGTAGTTCAGCTGGAAACCAAAATGAACGTAAAAGTAGCAAACACATTACATCACCAGGGAGCCGAAATTGTCAATATGTGAGTGGATAAGCTCCGAACGAGATAAGTAGAGCCATAAGGTTAATTACACTGCAAGTGTGCGATATAAATGCAAATATTAAACTAGCCTTGCAATGCCACATACGAAAAAAGCCGCCAAGGTCTCCTTACAGAACTGCTAAAAAATAAAATCGGGTGACAAACTGTACCCCAGATCGGTCCGGGCAGTGATATGATATGATATTTGACAGATCAGTGTATCAAATATTTGATCGCCAGTCGCTGTTAACTGGGAAAACGTGCGTAGGGCGACTGACTCGTGAGATCTCGAAATCAAATGCCAATCGGGATGACGGTGGACTTTTCGCATTCGGCGACACTTGGCGTTTGCCTAACCAATTGAAGCCGATAGCCTGCTAAATTTATCAAACTAATTTGTTTACCGCTCTCTGCTTTCAGATTAACAACTTGATCTGCCGATCTGTGATTCGCGATATCAGCTAGAAGAGCGGGGAAGCTGCTGGAGAAGTGAAGGGACCACACCGCCATCCGTATCCCCGAAGAGCGAGTGTCAACAAGCCCGGCAAAACGGCGAATAAATCGTGCAAACAGCAGACGGCAGACAACAGACGTCTGAGTGGGACCCAGTCGGAACCTGAACCTGAATCGGGGCTTATTTAAAGGCCCGCTACCCGCTGTCTGTCAATCAGAACAAATCAAGCTGCCGGCGGCAGCAGATCGCGAGTGAAGAAGTCCGAAGAAACCAGAAGAAAGCAGCTGAAGATCCAGCTGAAGATAATTGTGCAAATATTAAAACCATATCGGTGGGGGAAATTCTCCGACGCCCTGCACACAAAAGTTAAACTGCAAACACTCCCGCACAATTACACCCCCGTCGAAGTTTATTTTTCTGCATTGTAAGCAGTATTGTGATATTTAAACGCGCCACCTGCAGCGTCGTAATCAATTTGTTTTAACACTCCGTGTTTAACTTAAACAAAGCCCACAAAGCCTGCACATCACAACAATAAGCAAGATGTCCGCGTCAAAGGAGGCCATTTGTGGGAGCACCGAGAAGGATCTGGAGAAGCCAGCATTGGGTGAGTTTTCTTGAGATGTAAAACACATAACAGCAGGAGGAGTGTGGGAGCGTGCCAAAGTATCACAGCAATAGTGCAATATTTGCTCATTACAGCCGAGATAATTCACAATTGTCATTACACTTATGGCCGAGATAATTCCCAATTGTTACTGCACTCTTTGCTTGCCAATTATTAAGGGACTGATAGGGATGTGACAAAAACACCATAAATACAAAGGCTAATAATCATCTTATAAGATGATAAAAATAGAAAGGTTTATTAAAGATACAAATATTCATATGGGGACGGATTCTATTACTTCTTCATTGTTTTTTTAAATCAGTCGTCTAAATGATAAACTCTTTTCTTATTTTTTGTATTCTTATAAAACTTAAATATAACCTATCTTCATAAATGATGAAGTCGGAAAATAGCCCAGTTATTAACCTGTGAAACTTATGCTCTTGAAATTTAGCATTAGGAAGTAATTTCATCCCATAGTAATGATCACCGATCCCAGTAATATGCATATGCTTTCTTTTCTTCGAATAATTACCCGCTAGGTTTGTAATGCATATGATGCATAGCCCAGTCTATGATTTCAGTTGCCGGATAATTGCCCCATTTATTGCAAACGACAATTCACTCGGATATGTGTCCCAATCACTGAGCCATATAATTTATATTTATCAGTTGCTCGAAATACTAAGCAAATTAGCAGAACAGAACACTACAGAACTTGAACAGTAACACACGTTCTCGCCCAGCTATTTCGCAATCGTTAAACTCCAAAATTACACTTGAAGTCGGTTGAATGGGCTTCTCATTGCTTCTCCGGGAATCCACTTGATTTAAATAAACGAAATCCGCCCGAAAATGGATGAGAAGGTTGCCGCTAAACGGAAGTTATTTGTTATGCAACGAAATAAGGCGAAAAATAAAATCCATTAATGACGAGAGTCGCCAATGCGTGAGCCAAATTCACAATTAACGTGTGACACAGAGTCCGCAGTTTGTCAGTGAAATTTGTTTTCATATTTTGTGATGACATGCGAAAGGTACTAAAAAAATGTATATATTTTAAATCAAATATATTATTGGGTTTATTTCGTAAACCAAGTTCAACATTTTAAAATTTAGTTTTCCTGAATTTAGTGTTTTTTACAAACCTAAAAATTGCGATTCAAGTGAAGTCCTAAGTATACAATTTAATTAAGCTTCACGCTTTTATTAAAATCTTTTTAGTGGGCGGTGATACAGTTGAGTCAACAACTCGCCTAATTTGCCTATTATTCTCCCATTTGCGGGCAAACCAAGTGGTTTGTTTACGTTGTCTTTGCTTCCTAATATATTTTACACAGAAGTCGTCTGCTCGACACTTGACACAGTTTGTTTGAGTTCCCGGTTTACCTTTTTCGTGGCCAAGTGGCGTAGTTTGAGCCGACCAAAACCGGTTAACCGGCAAAGGCCCGAAAATGCGAAAAACAAAACTGGCCAAAAAACAGAGCAATAAATCGCAACAAATGCCAAATACAGTACGTGTTTATAACTGTGCAAATGAACTCTGCAAGGCGGTGACAGAACTCGTTTTCTACCGCGATTCGCGGCTAAGGTCAGCCGGGGAAATGCATTCGCCTTGGGATTCCGACGAGAACTTTTCCCTTTTTACTTTCATTGGCGATTACAGAGCTATGTTAGCTCTTCGTGTCGACAATTGCGAAATGAGAGCGATTTTCGGTTTGGCAGACTGCCGAGTTTTTCATCAAGGCGCTGGCTTTTGGCCCTGATATTGACACTAGAACTGGCGGCCCTCTGGTTTTGTCATCTTGCGACATGCCATCGGTTAATTGGATGGAACCGTGAATACATTATCTATTCAATTTCCCAGCCAACGCCCCCGCAGTTTGGAATCGTATGTGGAGGTGGGGGTGGGTGGTTCGAAAAAGCCCCCGGTAATTTAACAATAGGGAGGCAGAGTATGGAATCAGCGACCTGTTCAGCGATGCGCTCGACTGGAGCCCCATATCCGTTCTATATTTCCATGGGATGATATATGTAGTCTTTATAGTATAGTTGGCGTTGACGTCTCGGCACTGGCGTAATCCGATTTGCGGCCCATCTCAGCGCGACTTGCTAAATTGAAAAATTGCTTTTACAAAGTGGGCTCAAATTTTAATGGGAGCAAGTGAGATGGCAGCCACTATAAACTTTTCAATTTGGACAGTTGAGAAATTCCTCGTTTTTTAAGATCGTGACTTTTGCGACTTTTTCGCCGAATAGTATATTATTTTTTTTGCGACAGTGAGTGGCATGCAAATTACTCATCTCATCTCCTGAGTGTGCTTGCTACTATTTTTATAGATTACAATTACCACGAAAATAGCCGAGCCATTCATTCAGACAGTGCTATCTACGTTTTTACCTGCAAAAGGGAAACCGAAATAGAAATTACAGAGCAATTAACCCAATGCCACACTTGTGACTAGTTGAATTGGATCCATCTGATAAAGTCGGACAAATAATCTGCTGCTGACTTCAGTCTGACCTTCTGGGAAAACAAAGCTGCCTCTTTATAGCCGCAAATATTTGCGCTACTCTTTTTCACCTTTCAAGATACCCGATACCAGGAACCCTCAAACGCGACAAATACTCGTTGTTTATGTTTAAATTGAGTTGAAAGCCAAATAAACGTCAATTGTGGCTTATTATGCGGCTCGCTCTGGCAAATCGGGGATTATTGTATACCCAGAATTCCTCATAATGTTCTCACACAACTATTGACTTACAACTTAGAAAGCTGAAGTTGCCATAGATATGGCTATGCTTATAAACCCCCGCAAAGGCTATATTACTTACGTAAAAATCCGTTACGTTACGTAGCAAAGCTCACCCCAAAAGCATGCAATGAAAACGTAACAGGAGCTTGTCGACTTCACGTAGAGTATATGTAAAATGGTTAACTGTTTCAAATACCCATTCAAAATTATCAATACAATTATATTCACTCCTGTGGCTGCACTAAAATAGATCGCAATAGTTGGCAGACAAAATGAAAAATCACTTAATTGCTTTGGGCGCGCACAACTGTACCGCAGCCTAACCATAAAGAATTCCATTAGGGGATTTGCCAAAAATACACCCTACATACACTTAAATAATTAGAATATGGTATACATCAAACTAGACAGTGTGAATGGCTTCTCTTTTTTGTCACGAGAGCTCGACAGACACGCTCAATGTCGGCTAACCACAATTAACACAAAAGGAACCATAATTAAGAGGGAATGAAGTGAAAGGGGCTTGAACTATGAATGTTTTTTGCGAGTATGTCGAATTATTAGACTTGTTAATACCGCCATAAAATTTGAGAAATCATATAATAGGAATTTCATAATGTTGGTATAAGCTTTTCATGTCATTCGAACAAGAAGTTTTTACGATATAATAATTTTTCATCGAGCTGTTATAGTAGATCATTCCCAAGTCGTTGCGATCGAATCGGATTGGCAATTGAACTTGTGAGGAGAGGCAGGCGACAAACACGTGTCTGTCTCAGCCGGCGGCAACTTTGAGAGCGGGATTCGACATCGCCGCAAACACTCCTATATATAAACAATCACTTGTGCGATTCAAGCGTGACTGTAGATGTTTTTACAGTTTCAGCTTTGGGCTCGCTCTGCGGTTTGTTGAAAAGATAAATAATGATAAAATCAAAACAATAGGGGACATTTTGTTCTGTCATTCGGCCTATGTCAAAATTAGCAACAACTTGTCAAAGCGATTAAAATAGAGTATATATTTTGGCGTGACCCCAGTAATTACACAGAGAATATATTGTGCACCTTGTGGGGGCGCCTCCATTTGGCGGCGTCGCACTTCTATGACTTCATTCTGAGTCTACATGTGTAAATATATGAGTCCCATTTTGTTAAGGGTGGTTAGGATAGTTGACAGATCATAATTTGCCAATAATAACGAAAGAGATGGGATTTTAAATCTCTAAGACCAACATTTCTACAGACAAAACACCTAAAAATATCTAGTAATTTCCGAATACCCCAACGAGTACCCCGATGTTACCATAATCACTTAGCTGTGCATATTTTAGGCAGCGCGTGTACTTCGTCTTCCATGTGCCGAAAGTCACGAGATGTGAATGTGTACCATGCTTACGTCCATCCGGTATAATTAGACATATATACCATGTAGAGGTGCTCCGTCAGATGTCTTTGACTTTGGTCCGAGTGAAAAGTTCACTCTATCAATTGACATCAATCGGCGGGACCGAAATGATGCATTTTGCAGGGGAGAATTTTCCATCGCCTCACTTAATTAGTCGAAATCTGAACACTAAAACTGATGTAATCACCCAGCGGCGGAGAGAGCGACGCCGGCGCAGAACCATATATTCGTACAGTCGTACACTCGTTCTATATCCGAACCCAATAGCCGCAGATACAAGTACTCGTACACCGTACCCACAGCCGTGGCCGCAGTTTATAAATGAAGGCGGCGCAACAGTTGGCGCTCAGTAGAAAAAGCTATAAGCAACAAGCGGGAGCGAAAAGTACCGACTCAGTTGACCGTTCAACGTCGGTGGCAGAACACATTGGCCCATCGAATTATCGCTAGTTTTTCCTCCAACGTACTCCGAGTTTCCCAGCCCGCGATATGTTACGGTTCCTAGCCGGCCAAGTCGACAGATAGACAATGAAATGGTTTAAGCGTGTGCGCAAAAAGTCTTGAACTCGAGAGAAACCGAACTAGAAAATATCGAATTTAGTTAAGTTAGGGGTAGTTTCTAACACCATGCCCTTCCGACGCAGCAGCCTGAATCATCGCCATCGCGATGGCCATGTTTTGGTGTGGAATCAGAGGAATCTCAACGAATCTCTGGAGCAACAGCCGCAGAGTAAGCAAAAATTGCACAGGTCACGAGATCCGAATTTTGTATTTAATTGAGATTGTATTTTTTATAAGTTATTATACCTTTTCCTTTTTACCTCTGTCACATATAAGTAGATAGCTACAACCAATGGTTATTGATCGCCCTAACTAATTTCCCATATTTTTCCTACACCATTTCATTTTCTTTGCGACCACCCTGCGTATGCGTAATATTAGTTGTTGGCCCGTGTTCGCCTTTTAAACCCACTCCTCCACCCGTAGACAGGTCTTTCCCCTTGGACTGATTTCGCGCGATATACACGTGCTTCTCCTCATCGCCAGATTGCTGCCAACGAAAGCAAACGCGGCGATTGTGCAACACGAGACGTTGGTGGAAAATGAGGGAAAACCAGAGAAAAGGCGAGCAAATCGCGCGATTTAATGCTGCGTGAGCAAATATAAACGGCGAGCGAACAACAATATTTTTAAAATTCAGCAATTTTGCGGTTTCGAGCTATTGTTTATGTCATAGTTTTTTTCTTTTTTGTGAATAATGGGCAACTAAATTCCAATGAATCTGTCGGGTTATTGAACAGAAAGAGCTTATCGAACAGTTTTTGGTTTACTATGGCGATATAGGTGGCCAAAGTTCATAAGTTTTGAAAGTAAATTGCCTCAATTATTTCTGCTCACTGGCAGCCTTGAACTTTTTATGCGTCACCCGCTAATTAAACCATAAAGACCCAAGCCCAGCCCCAAACCCTAGAAAGTAAACACAACTGTACTTAAATTAGGAATTCTAGGTAACCTCACGTGTTCCACGGCCGTGAAAATTGCTGGAAATGCCGGCGATTCACGTTTGACAAATGACACAAACGGCACTAAAAATTACGAGCACTCACCCAGCCCGGCGTAAACAATTGCTTTCATCGTAATAACAAAACGCGATCTCGGAATATGACTCCGGGGCAATAAAATCAAATAAATAAAGGGAGGGGTGGAAATTGCGAGAGGCGATTTTGAAATTTAAGTAGAAATCAGTTGGCTATGCCATACGAGGAATTTAATAAATACAAATCGTATTAAAAATTATTATGAGAGCTAACAGAATATAATTATCTGGCTTTCTATCTCCCATGATTCATTCAGCAAAGAACCTTATCTCAATACCGAGCAACGAACCTTGGGCTAAGCAAACCCCCGGCAAGATTGTATCTTCATATCTCAGCGATAGCCTCGATATATTTGGGTTATTTCTGTATTTCCGAAACATATAATTGGCCAACTAACATTAATACTTGCTGACAAGACTTCCGCCTGCCGTAGATTAATTATTTTGTGCATGCATATTGCTCACTGACGCATTCACTGATTTAGAAAGATAAATCAGTTTTCCCATTCTCTGAGAGGAATAAGTTTTTGTGTAGCCACTCTTGATTTCCCTATTTTTAATGGGACATTTGACTAATTCCCTTTGATTTTCTCTTATTTTCTAGGATGCTTCGCCACCCGCTACTTTGTGACCTTCATGCTGTTCCTGGGCATGGCCAATGCGTATGTGATGCGCACCAATATGTCGGTGGCCATTGTGGCCATGGTAAATCACACGGCCATCAAGACCGGCGAGGAGGAGTACGATGATGAGTGCGGAGATCGGGATATTCCCATCGTAAGTAGCCTTTGCAGTGATCCAATTTCGATAAAAGTGATTAACTCCCAACTCCCCTCTTGCAGGACGATTCCCAGGATGGCGAGTTCGCCTGGAGCTCAGCTCTGCAGGGCTACATCCTGTCCTCCTTCTTCTACGGCTACGTGATCACCCAGATTCCCTTCGGCATCCTGGCCAAGAAGTACGGCTCCCTGCGCTTCCTGGGCTACGGCATGCTGATCAACTCGGTGTTCGCCTTCCTGGTTCCGGTGGCTGCCCGCGGAGGCGGTGTTTGGGGTCTGTGTGCGGTGCGCTTCATCCAGGGTCTGGGCGAGGGTCCCATTGTGCCCTGCACCCACGCCATGTTGGCCAAGTGGATTCCGCCCAACGAGAGATCGCGAATGGGAGCCGCCGTCTATGCGGGCGCCCAGTTTGGAACCATCATTTCGATGCCTCTCTCCGGCCTGCTAGCTGAATACGGTTTCGATGGCGGCTGGCCTTCGATCTTCTATGTGTTTGGAGTGGTGGGAACCGTTTGGTCCATCGCCTTCCTGATCTTCGTGCACGAGGATCCCTCATCGCATCCCACAATTGATGAGCGCGAGAAGAAGTACATCAATGACGCTCTCTGGGGAACTGATGTGGTTAAGGTTGGTTCTTAAGTTCACTGGAAATCTAAAAGGCGTTCCTAACGTGTTCTCCCTCCTCTTTGCAGAGCCCTCCCATTCCCTTCAAGGCCATCATCAAGTCGCTGCCCTTCTACGCCATTCTGTTTGCCCACATGGGCCACAACTACGGCTACGAGACTCTGATGACCGAGCTGCCCACCTACATGAAGCAGGTGCTCCGCTTCTCCCTCAAGTCGAACGGTCTGCTCAGCTCGCTGCCCTACCTGGCCATGTGGCTCTTCTCCATGTTCATCTCGGTGGTCGCCGACTGGATGATCAGCTCGAAGAGGTTCTCGCACACGGCCACCAGGAAGCTGATCAACAGCATCGGCCAGTACGGTCCGGGAGTCGCCCTGATCGCCGCCTCCTACACGGGCTGCGACCGGGCTCTGACCCTGGCCATCCTCACCATCGGAGTGGGCCTGAACGGAGGCATCTACTCTGGCTTCAAGATCAACCACCTGGACCTCACGCCGCGCTTCGCCGGCTTCTTGATGTCGATCACGAATTGCTCGGCCAACTTGGCAGGTCTTTTGGCGCCCATTGCTGCGGGCCACCTCATCTCCGACCCCAGCAAGGTGAGTTCTGGGACTTCTGACCATGATAATCAGTTTTAAAATACCTTGCTTCCCTTGCAGCCCATGATGGGTCAGTGGCAGATCGTGTTCTTCATCGCCGCCTTCGTGTACATCATCTGCGGCACCTTCTACAACATCTTCGGCTCCGGAGAGCGCCAGTACTGGGACAATCCGGAGGACGATGAGCAGAAGCCGGCCCTCCAGACAACCAGCACCACCACCCCGCAAAGGCTGAGCAACGGCGCTGCGGCGCCACGGGCCATCTCCAGCTCCTAGGACTCCAAAAGGCCGTAGTATTAGCCGTAGTCGTCCGTCATTACCATTAATGCGTACACTGTACGAAACGCGTAGTTTAGTCCTTGTTTTAGTTGCCTATTCGTTAAGCCAAAAGTTGTTAATATTGATAGTTAGCCCTTGATCTATTCCTATATACGCCGCTAAAAGACAGTAAGCTTCCCATTGCAAATAAATTGGGAACTCAAGTTCAACCCACACCAAATCGAGCACAAATCGTCAACTTTAGTTAGGGAAATCGAGGTCTACCATTGCAAATGCGTAGTTTTCTTATCTTATTGTGATAGCGACAGAGTTTAGTTCTCTCACTGATTTGTTTTGAAATTAAATGATCCGCTCAAGCGAACATTGTTAAGCAAGCAACCAAATGTATGAAAACCATTAAAAACTACTAGTCTAAGAAAAAACAAACCTATGAGCCTTTATAAATAATTGGAAACTTAACTAAATTAATGAAAGCAAGGGGGAAATTTTAACATTAAATTAAATTAAATTTGCACTAAAAACTGGACCATCTGGGAAATGTTTAGGTATTTAAGAATTGAGTACAGCGTACTTACTCCTACTTAGCTTAAAGCATAGTTGCACATCCTTTGACATTGAAGGGTGAGTAGCTCACCCATGAATTCTCCTTCTAATTCGTTATTAATAAGCACTTGTCAGGATATCAAGGAAAGCCATCTCTTGTGTCTGGTACTTAAGTGCCCGCTCCAAAGCAAGGGTCATCAGTTGGAGTTCAAATGGGTCATGAGGAGGAACTGAAACCGGAGCAAGTGGATCTGAAAGTGTCCCCATTTGTGGGATCCCTCCGACGCACTTGGAATGACTTCTGTGCCACCAGCAGTATCCATGGATTGAGGTACACCCGCGATGAGGACACCAATAAAATAGTGCACCTTGTGTGGCTGCTGATTTCGCTGGTGATGTTCGTCTGCGCTGTGGTTATGGCGCACACCTTCTACATGGACTATCGCAGCAGTCCCACGCGTATGAATGTGGAAAGTGATCACACGCCGGTTAACAATCTCTACTTCCCACCGGTCACCATTTGCCCAGATGTACTTTTCAACATGCAAAAGTCCAAGGCCTTTCTTAACACTCTGTGAGTGGAGATTATTTATAGGAAAGTCGGAAATATACCTATTATCTTGACAGAGAACTCCCACAAGGAGCGGAGCTAGGAGGCATTCTTCGAAAACTACACATTTTCTATGGATTCATGCTTGATGACGAGCGGTATTCCTCGCAGGACATTGAAGAAATGGAGACCCTGCTTTTCCTGAACAATCTCACTGTCCAACAGTTTGTGGAACACTTACGCTGGGATTGTGATGAAATTCTGTACCGCTGCAGATTCAATGGCGATATATTGGATTGTTCAAAGATTTTTCAGTTATCCAAGACTTTTTTCGGCCACTGTTGCTCATTTAATTTACGTCAAAAGGGGTAGGTAAGGAGAATATTTATTATTAATTGTTTATTAAACTGATTTCTTGTTTAGCCTTAACTTTACAGCCCAGCGAGCAATTGGAGGTCTCAAATATGGTTTGTCAGTGATTGTAAGGTATAAAGACGACAGCTACGATCCAGTACAATCGTACTCTTATGGCGTAAAGCTTCTAATCCAAGAAGTTGATGCCTTTCCTAGTGCACATGCCGCTGCTAAATTTATAGCCTTTAACACGGAGACGTTCGCTGCCCTCAGACCCCAAGAAACCTTTTGTTCGGCTGCCGTCAAGGCCTTAACCATCGATGAGAGAAATTGCGTGTTTCAAAATGAGTTCCACCTGCGTTATTTTTCGAATTATGTGTACCCCAACTGTGAGCTAAATTGTAGGGTCACAAACATGGTGAAGTTCTGCGGCTGTCACACGTACTTTTTTGACTTTAATCGCACCAAAGATCGGATTTGCACTTTTAGAGATATTCCCTGTCTGGTGGATAATTTTGGTAAGTCTTAGGTTAGATGGGAACCTTAATGAGCCTAAAACCCTACTTTCAGCTAATATAATTACAAGGAAAAAAAGCACCCAGTGCTATTGTCCTCTTACCTGTGAGCACTTTGATTATGATGTCCAGATATCCAATTTTCCCCTCGAACTCAACATGCCAGTGGCGGATAAGTTCTAGTAAAACTTTAATACAACTTTTATAGAAACTTTTATTATAATAATAAACTTCTGTTTCAGCTCGGGCCTCTCCAAAAACGATGGCGTATTGCATGTCTTTATCAATTCCTTCAGTTATCGCCGCCTCCGACGTGACTTACTTTCCAATATGGTTACTTTGGTTTGTAAGTTGATTATTAAAGTCCAGTAACATTTTAAACTAAATAATCTATTTTCTAGCTAACCTGGGCAGCGCCTTTAGTCTGTTCGTCGGCATGAGCATGCTCTCGGTGGTAGAGATTATCTACTATTTTTCAGTAATTCTGCGCAAGAACTATATTATGGAATGTGAAACACGCAACAAGATGCTTCATAGGGGGCCAAAGTTCGCACTGGCCAAAGCAAATGACACTCACAGTAAAGACCAGAAATCAGTTTTCATAATTCACAAATCGTAATCAGCTCGATGGCAGAATGTGCAAAATATTGCCATAAATTAGAGCAATAAAATCAACTTCATGCTGACTTTGGTGTGCGAATGAACTTATTTACACTCATTTTGAAGGGGTATTATGGTTTTACCATGGTTAGTTAATTTGATTTTAATAACAAAAGTATTTTTTAGTTGTTCGAAGATAAAAAAGCAATGAAAAATGATTATCCAAATCATATCATATAAATCATATAAAATGAAAGTTTTAAGGTGATAAAGCCAAGCGACATTTAGAAAGGGTATCTGAAGTATCGACGAATCTAATCTTCGTGTCTCATGATCTTCTGGGAAAGCCAAGATAACCGCGAATTGCAAATATCTAGCCTGCTATCGCGTATTGCCATAGGTCAGCCGATGGCCATTGTAAATCTGCCCCCAATCGCGAGGGGACCATCTGCTAGTCGTAAATTGGACCCAAGCGAAGCTAATCCGCGATAAGATTGTCCGTGGGGTATATAAGGGGAAAGTGCTCTGGAGATTGCTTACAGTCTACGGCCATGTTCAAGTTCGCTTTGGCCCTGACGCTCTGCTTGGCGGGCAGCCTTTCGCTGGCCCAGCACAACCCGCATTGGTGGGGCAACCGCAACACCATCGTCCACTTGTTCGAGTGGAAGTGGTCGGACATTGCCCAGGAGTGCGAGACCTTTCTGGGGCCCCGGGGCTTCGCCGGAGTGCAAGTTAGTCCCGTAAATGAGAACATCATTTCGGCAGGTCGTCCCTGGTGGGAGAGATACCAGCCCATCTCCTACAAGCTGACAACTCGATCGGGAAATGAGGAGGAGTTCGGTGACATGGTCCGTCGTTGCAACGACGTGGGTGTTCGCATCTACGTGGATGTGCTCCTGAACCACATGTCCGGCGACTTCGATGGAGTGGCTGTGGGCACCGCCGGAACAGAGGCGGAACCTAGCAAGAAGTCCTTCCCAGGGGTTCCCTTCACCGCCCAGGACTTCCATCCCACCTGCGAGATCACCGACTGGAACGATCGCTTCCAGGTGCAACAGTGCGAATTGGTTGGCCTCAAGGATCTGGACCAGGGCAGCGAGTGGGTGAGGAGCAAGCTTATCGAGTTCCTGGACCACCTCATCGAACTGGGTGTTGCTGGCTTCCGAGTGGATGCCGCCAAGCACATGGCATCGGAGGATCTCGCGGTGAGTATTTGTGGCGCCCAACGTGGGGCTGGTAATTAATGCTGTCCATCTCCGCAGTACATCTACGGAAGCCTGAGCGACCTGAACATCGATCACGGTTTCCCCCACAACGCCAGGCCCTTCATCTTCCAGGAGGTTATTGACCATGGTCACGAAACCGTGTCCCGTGATGAGTACAAGGATCTGGGTGCCGTCACCGAGTTCCGTTTCTCCGAGGAGATTGGCAATGCTTTCCGCGGCAACAACGCATTGAAGTGGCTGCAGAGCTGGGGCACCGGCTGGGGATTCCTGCCCACGACTCAGGCCCTGACCTTTGTGGACAACCATGACAACCAGAGGGATGCGGGAGCCGTGCTGAACTACAAGTCCCCCAGGCAATACAAGATGGCCACCGCCTTCCATTTGGCCTACCCCTATGGCATCAGTCGTGTGATGAGCTCATTTGCCTTCGATGACCATGATACTCCGCCGCCACAGGATGCGCAGGAGAGGATTATTTCGCCCGAGTTCGATGAGGACGGAGCCTGTGTGAATGGATGGATTTGCGAGCACCGCTGGCGACAGATCTACGCGATGGTGGGCTTCAAGAATGCCGTGCGAGACACGGAGCTTTCAGAGTGGTGGGACAATGGAGATAACCAGATCTCCTTCTGCCGCGGCAACAAGGGCTTCCTGGCGGTCAACAACAACCTGTACGACCTGTCGCAGGATCTTAACACCTGTCTGCCTGCCGGAACCTACTGCGATGTGATTTCTGGCAGCCTAATCGATGGTTCCTGTACCGGAAAATCAGTGACAGTTAATGAGCACGGGTACGGCTATATCCACATCGGATCTGATGACTTCGATGGGGTCCTGGCCCTGCATGTGGATGCCCGAGTTTAATTGAAGGTAACACAGAAATTTGGGCTTTATTTTTGTCTCAAATTACAATAAAAACGAACGCACATAATGTATGGAGGTTTTAGCTCTAACTATTCGAGTATGTATGTGAGCGGTAACAATAGCAGTACAAATGCAAAGTAAAACATTCAACGCGATTCGATTCGAACTGGAACTGGACTTAGTCTAACAAATGCCACGACAACGACATCCTCTGAATAAAAACCCGGACAAAGGGAATACCAAATAACGTAGTGTATGCTCGGGAACCTGGGCTAAATCCACATCCGATCCAGCTGGCACCCTGCAAAACCGCTCTGCAAATAGAAGAAGTTGGCATTGTGAAATTGTAGTTGGGTGCTCTGCCCGGCATTCGAATCGCTACATCTCCATTGGCGACTACCTCTCACAAGCATTCAGAGGCGCAACGGAAAATCGATCGAATATATGTAACTGGTCAAGCGATTTGGTCAGCGACTGTTGGTTAGTTTCAAAACAAGCAACTACAAATCAAAATAGCAACGTTTCTACTAGCATTCCGATTAGTTACGAGTGTAGGTCTGGATCGATGGGATCCCAGATCCAGATACAGATCCAGATCCAAGATGTCGGCTGGTGGCAATTGATGTGTGGTTATCGTTACGATTAGTTATCATTTAGTTGGAATTAAATGCTCATGAAGCGTAATTACCTGTAAAATGCTGATATCTTTCTTCTTACGAGTAATTTGCTAAAAAGCCAACTCTTCATACTCCCTTTAGAATATTACATACAATGTGTATACTTTGTAAACTATGATTCTTTGCATATTCCGCTTAAATTTAGGATTCGCTTAAAGGGATTTTCTTTAACTAACAAACACAGAGTCCAAAAATGTTGCTCAAAGTTTAACAATAAATATTAATTTGATAATACAATTTTTCCACGCCTTACTTTTTGCTGGCACAAAAGTGGATGCTTTTCCTATATTTTTAAGGTTTAAGTACGGCCCCGAATCCAGCTTTAATATACAAATAAGTGCACACACAAATGCGCTTAATTTTGCTCTGATCTTAGTCTTAGGAGTTATCTAGAAAAACATTCTGACCTTTTGCAATAGCAGAGCAGTTCGGTTACTTTCAGAATTTAATCTTCCTTAGGTTATTTAGAATCATGTAATGTATATCGATTACTCGTATATTATGCCATCAAAAATTTGTAATACTCGCGTTTGCCGACGCATATATCTATAGCTATATAACAGGAACCACGTAAAAATGCACAAATACTTAGAATATTATCTCTTTCTGATTTCGGTTTCCACATTAATTACAACATCGAAGTGTGAACTCTTATGCACATGTATACATATAAACTTTTGATCTATTGTTTGTTTAAATAGTAGTCAGGTAAATCGTGGGAGGAATTATTGTTGCGCATAAGTTTGTTAATTATTTAGAATATACATTTGATATCATCTACGGTTAGCTGCCTAGCAATCGTTCAGTTTGTAACCACGGATCCAATGAGGGTTGCTTGACGAATCAGCAGAGATCATAAGTACCGGACCACCGATAAGACGGCGTCTGGATCGACTGACTTCGGTGGGCCGAAGTTCGCGCTTTTGGTAGAGCTTTTGAAACGGCCTAAAAACCAGAACCATTTTATAAAGTTTGATTACCGAACGCCTGCAGTTCGGTGTCATCCTTAACCCTAAGAGATTACGATTATGAGAGGTCCTATATAGATTCAACACTGAGATTGTCAAAAATATATGCGTATCGAAGAGATATCAAGAGATTGCCGCGAATGTGTTATGAGGTTCACCTGGTCTGGTACCAGCGATGGGAAGTACGAAACTAACTACCAAAAAAAGAATGATTTCATAAAAACCCCACCTACTCAGCCCTCTTATCCTCTGGTTTTGTCTGTAAGTTTATCATATATAACGGTATTAAAGGAATAGTTTACAAAAAAATGTAATTACAGGTACTTCAAATCGAATGACTTAGGCTCTATTATGATCTTAAAGGTTTATTTAGCTTACTCTTATTAAACACCGGAATGTCTATTTATAAGTGTAGTTCTCTTCCCTAGCAATACGCTATTATAATTGAGGATTTGAAAAATATTTGCAGATCGATTAGGCTTTTGATTTACTTCGAGATATTTTCTGTAAGTTACGCAAGTACTGCGTATATTTTCAAATGGTGTTATAATACCCCATGTAGGGATATAAAAGGCAGTTATTGTTGAGTTTAGCTGTTTGAATCAAGGTAATTACTGTGATCAAGTGTGATATACTGTGCGACAATTATTTTGATTTATAGAAAACTTTTTTCCAGCCTATGCTACCTAATTACCTTTCCCATCACTGGTTGCCCCTAGATCCTTTCCTTACTGCCCTCTAGAAACTCTTTCCCGCATCGTGGATTCGCTTCCGGCGACTGTCGCGCCTCCTGTAACGATCGATTATCCTCGACCGATGCCTTTCCGGGCACAACGCCTCCGGGGAGCTGTCCACCTTCTTCATCACGATGCGGAAGGTGAAGGTGTGCTTGGGCGAGGCGCTGGCCGCCCGTCTCGGTGACGGTGGCTCGAACTCACTGCCGCTGGAGAAGCCGCAGGAGGAGAGCGTTCCGCCGGCGTGGGGGTGGGGCACTTGAACCGGTCCGACCGCAGCAACGCCCGGAACCCTGGGTGTTCCATTCGTGTAGCCCGATGGGGTGGACATGGAGCCGGTGGACAGCTGTTGGGTGAGCACGGAACTGGGACGCGGCTCGAAGATGGAGGCACATCTCTGGTCCGTACAGAGGAAGGTGCGCACCTCACGCTCCTCCTCGCCCTTCTGCCGCACGGTCAGGGGAAAGTGCTTGCGACTAGGGTCGCCATACGGACTTCTTTGTGGCTCCGGCGGATAGCCATAGCCGTGTGGGTAGGAGCCACTTGAGTCGTAGCTGTCCCTGGAGCTATAGTTCGAGGAAGTCTGCTGGGACAACGGACTTCGTGCCCGGGAGAAGGCACTAAACTGGGAGACGTGCAGCTGGCGGAAGTTCTCCGTGCGCTGTTTCTTGCTCATCGCCGGAAACGGAAGGCTGGGCGAACGCCCCCCACCACCCTCGGTGGGGGTGTAATCAAAATGGGTCTCCAGCGAGGACTTGCGACCTCCGCAGGACGAACCCGATCTTTGGAAGGTCTCCGCATCCACCAGCTCAATGGAGCTCTTGCGCAGATCCACGGGCCTTCTGCCCTGCGCCTTCTCATCGGTATCGACAATCTCAAAGCTCGAGGTCTGATCCTCGTAGCTGGTGGACTGATACCGCGAAATGGAGACGTCGAAGCTGGTGTCCCTGGAGGAGTAGGGACAATCGAAGCTGGACTCCCCGCGACTCGACTTGCTCCACTTGCTCTCCACCAGCTCGAAGCTGTCACCTCCGGAGTCCAGGCGTTGCAGGTTGATCAGATCGGTTTCCGTGTCCACCCCAGGACTGCGAAGCTGCTCGAGGAAGGGGGAACGCGGCGGATCGAAGGAGGAGCGTCGCGACGGCGGCTCAAACTCGATGGTAGGACACTGCAGCGGCTTCTTCATGGGCTCAGCCACCAGGGCCGCCGAAGCCGCCAGAGCAGCGGCTTCAGCCTGGGCGATGGCCACATCCGCATCTTCGGTCTCTCGCCGCAGTGCCTGCAGATTCACATAAATTGGTTCGGGGGCGTAGGCCTTCAAAATCTCTACCAGCTCGGCGCGCATTTCCTCGGGTATCATCAAGTCATTGGAGTCCGACTCCCGTTCCTCGCTGATGCGCGGCTCAATGGGTTCGCGACTCTCCGAGCGACGGGTGAAGTGATGCACTGCGGCAGCGCCACCCTCTCCGTTGAGAGCCACCACCTTCAGCGAATTGGTGACCTCCTCCACGAACTGGGCCATGGCTGCATCGGTTTGCTCCACCTCTGTTTCACCTCCTGCCTCGGCATCCTTTTCGGTCTCATCCTCATCGTCCTTCTCGGCCTCGGGCTCTTGCAACTCCCGCAGTCTCTCATGCTTGATATACGACTCACCTACCTTCTCGAAGTGCACGTTGGCCAGCTCGAAGGGCAGCTCGTCTGAGGATCCACCTACCTGTTGCTCCGCGTTGCCCTGACTTAGGTCTGCACTGGGCCTCTTGGATGCGGAGGCCGAGCTCTGCTTCTGCTTCTCCCGCTCCTTTTCCTCCTCGTCGCGTTTCGTCGAGCGCCTCAGCCGCAGGGACATCTTGGCGTAGTGGGTGAACTTCTGGGATATCTTGGGCTCGAAGCCCACCTCGGACATTTGCTTTTGGACAGCACTCTTGGCGGCCGTCGACGAGGCCGCCGGACTGGCCGAGAAGGTGCTCTGCCGGATCAAAGGACCTCCGGAAGAGCCCGATTCCGCTCGTGTGAAGGCGTTGGCAAAGCGGTTGGTTCGGCTGCTCAGATGCTTGGAGGGCTTCCTCACAAAGGCCAGGATCTCGCGCATCACACTCTTCTTCTCCTGCGGCTGGGCTGCCTCCTTCTCCTTCTCCCTCTCCTTCTCCTTTTCCCGGGCAGCCGCCTCCGCCGCCTCGCGTTCGCGTTCGGCACTCTTGTAAGTCTCGGCGGGATTGGAGACGGTTATCGGGGGTATCGGGCCCATGGGTGAGCGCTTCTCACTGGCGAAATAAATGGGCGTAAAGAGGCTTATCGACGGTCGTTTGAATCCCACGAAACTGGCCTCCTCTGGCTCAGTGGCCATGTCCTGGACATGAACTGTCGACGTGGGACTCCTTCGGGTGCCCGGAACTCCAAATTGGCAGCCAAAGTCCGTGGGAGCCACTGCACCTAAGGGCGAACGACGTTCCTGTGTGTGCACACTGAAGGTGGGACTACTTCTGCGTGGCTCTCCAGTGGGACTTCTAACAGTTGGACTGGTCATGGGATCATTAGGTGACCTTAGTCCGCTGCTCGGGAAGAGTGGACTTCGCCTTCCCTGAGGACTGCGATCGTTGAGACCCACAGGACTACGTCGTCCCTGGTTGCCCAGCGATATGGAGAGCTGTCCACTGTTCTTGCGACGATTGGAGGCCCGCAGAGTTCCCTGGCGCGAAAGTGATGTTGGCGTCTTCTGGGAACTGCTCCCAGGACTCTTTGACTCCGGCACCTGCCCCACAGGACTCTTCGGAGTGAGCGGACTGCGCTTCTTTTCGCCATTGCCCGAGGTCAGCGCGGTGTTCAGGGTGAGATTGGGGGCATTGTTGGGGCTTCGCCGCTCCGAGGGACTGCGCCGCGTGCGGAAGGACTGCGACTTGGCCTTGCGGATCTTGGGCAGCGACTGGTGGTGGTGGCGGTGGCGGTGGTGCTGCTGCTGCTGGGACGACGAGGAGGAGGAGGGGCCGTTCAACTTATGTTAGTTGCTGTGATGCGGACCACTCGTCGGATCGCTGCTGCCGCTGGAGCTGAGGGTGGTGTTCGATCCGTAGGGGTCCAGCGAGCTCTGGACCGACATGGAGCGACCTTGGTTCTGGCGCGCCCGCCTCACTCGGCTAGAGTTGGGAGACAGCTTTCCGGGGTCGATGCTTTCTGGGTCTGCCTGCAATGTGTAGAATCAGACATAAAGGGGACAACAGGATGGATGGACGGAATGGAGCGCATGGGTGGCGGTGCCGGTGGCGGTGGATGGTTGGATGGACGGAGAGAGAGAGAGAGAGAGAGAGAGACGGGCGGACAGATAGATGGACAGATGAGGGCGTGAGTGACTGAGTTAAACACCAAGGAAGCAGCGCAAAGCAATCGAGAAGCACAGTGCAACCCACCTGATAGGCCAGGGCGTTCATGATGATCGCATAGGGGACGAGGTTCAGCGGATGGATCTCCCGCATCAGCACGTTGGCCGGTATCTTGTGGAACTGGATGTACTCGCAGAATGTGCCCAGGATCTCCTTGATGTCGATGTTCTGCGGGGTAAACAATACATAAATTAACTATTTTCAATCGGAGGAGTTTATATCTACCGGATTGTTATCGTAATACTTCTTGCTCCACATCAGTGCCGCCTGGAACTTGGTGAACTCGTCGGCCCGCAGCTCCTCCCTGGCCAAAATCAGCCGGACCACGTGCTGTGGCAACAGGGTGAAGCTGCCCAGGTTGAGCACCTCAGTTCCGTGCTCATCGACGAACTCCAGGACCTTTTGCACCAAGGTCTTGGTGCACTTGTACTGGATATAACGCTCCGCGGAGGCCAACAGGGCGCACACAGTGTCCACATTGATGCAGCACTGCACGAATCCTGCACAGGCGCGTCGCAGTTCCTCGAGCCCATAATAATCAGCGGCATTCATGACACCTGAAGGCGAGAAGCAGAGAGTCCCATCAGTACATATTTATTATTGATCGGTTATTTATTTTACCCAGCAAAGTGCGAGGCTGCAGGGTCACACAGCCCGTGTGGATATACTCTATCAGTTGGCGGAACACATCCGGTTCGAATTCCTCAATGATCAGAGTCTGATGCTGCTGGCCTGATGGCTAAATTCACAAAAGTCGGGATTAGTAAAAGAATGCTAAATAGTAATTAAATCGGCTAACAAAATTAAGCAACTAAGCTTGCAGACAGCTTGCAGTGAGTACAATTTGTTATAGGCATTCCAATTGTGAGGTTCAGGCAACCCAAAAGATACATTTTAAGACAGTTTAGCTTTTATAGAGAAATCGAAAGACATTTAGAATTGGTAGGGACGTTACTCCCCAGTAAAGGTAGTAGATAGAACATGTAGTACTTTCAAAGTATTAGCAGAGAAAGTTTTATAGGGAAAACAATCTTAAGAAGATGTTCAGCATTCAAGATCTTCGTAAAGTAGCTAGGATTCATTCGGGGAAAACAAAGCATATTCTGATAGATAATCACGCAAATCATACTAGGCAACTCAACCTTTTGTCACAGGTAAATCACTTGAATATGTGCACACTTAGTAAGACATATACATTTAGCCAATAGATGTTAATTTCTTAAAATTTTGTATTAAATTTGAAAACTTATAATAGCAAAATCATATATAATTTTTTTAACAATTTGAGCAACGTTGCATGTTCTACTGTCTGCAAGGACATCAAAGGACTTCCTTCAATTACGACACCCATACAGTTACAGTTACAGTTACAACAACAGCTACACATACACGCACAGAGGCAGTATTTGATGCTTGGTTACCTCGGGTATCGGAGCTAATTGTTGGGTGAAACCGGTTCTCTATGATTACGGATATGGGTTGCGGGATAACGAGTACGAACACGAGTACGATGTGAATTGTGGTTGTCACAACAGAGAAGGCACGAGAACATTGATATCAGTTAAATGACTTTTGCTGGCCCACGACGTATTTACACACAGAAGGGGAAGAAAACAATACGGAGGGGAGGGAACTGTACCGAACTGAAAAGGTGAATACGAAAATAGCCCCAATGATGCAGACCCACACGACAAAATGCAAAATCACACTGGCACCCACACACACATCGCATACGTAATCCCCCCCTGGGTAATCGATTATGGATGAATATAGAACACTTCTGCGAATACGAACCTGTTGTGCGGCATTCTGCAGGTTGAGCAGGGGCTCCGAGGAGCGTTTCAGGAAGAGGCGCAGCTTGTTCTCCTTGGTGGAGGTTTCCCTCTTCCGCTGGGGCGAAGGGGCAGCGTAGAGCATCTTGGCAAAAACCCGGGAACGGGATGCCAGCACGGCCTATGCAGAGGAAAAAATCCATTAAATTTTTGGAAACGATTTTTTAGCACTTAACATTATACTTTTTAATTTTTAAGCACTGGACTTTATACTTAATATTTTCTTTACGAACTTTTATGTGCTTTAACTTAAGTATATCACTTTTTTAAGTTTTTCAATTACTTTACATAATGAAATGCGTATACAAAGGTCATAAAAAAGTCACCCATTTATTCTTTATTTTATTATCAGTGTAAATAATGTGGGTACTGGGATATTTCTAAAGGGATACGCATCCCACGTAATTCAAAGGGGTCAATTATTTAGAGGGACAAAGCGGCGATTACGCAGTGACCTGAATCCAAGGACCAGACCCAGCGGAAGGGACACAATAAAAAAACGGGCACCAAGAACAAACCTTGACGGCGCAGACGGGTTCGCGGGTGTCGCCCACCAGGAAAGTTACGTCACACAGCTCGGGCATGGAGGCCAGGAACTTCATGTCCTCCGCCAGCCCAGTCTTGTTCTCGAACGTCGAGAGGTCCGGCTCTGCGTCAGCCATGCCGGGAAGAATCAATGCCTCGGGCATCTGGGTTTACTGCAATCAGGGATAGTAATTTATAACAATAATCCGGCCACAAGTGTTTTATTGATTTTATTCAACTCGACCGTAAAGTAAAAATGTCTGCTAATTTTACTAATAAATTAATAATAAAGAATAGACTTTATTTCATGCATCAAAAATTTTATAAGCCTTGTTTTGGACTGAGCCTAAGCCTAGTCTTGCTAAATCTAAAGACCTAATGACACTTGCTTGATATTTGACTAAGTGACTGGGTAAATTTTATAAAGAAATGACAACGTAAACATAATTTAACATATTCATTTATAAATGTTGTAAAGTTAAAGGTCCCTTTTCTCTGGGTTGCAAAGGCTTTTTCAAAACGTAGTCAATCAGCTTCTCAAAAATAAATATTATTATGAGGCAGTCAGATGAATTTTGATTAACAATTCAGTAATATTAAAAACGATAATTTGTATTAAGATCAATTGGCCTATTCCCTAAGCTATATTCTTAGTTTTTTTAATTTTCAGTAATATTTCGGTTTGTATAATCTGTCTATAAGGGAAACATTATCCTATCATAGCTTTAAATTTGTGGCAAGATTATCTAAGCCTTGAGATTTCTATTTAATATTAATGGGGCCCAAAATATTCTATTCCGTATCGGAGGCGACCCTTTAAGCCATAGCAATTCGAGCGCAATTGAAATTTCTAAAAATAATTTCTTTATCCAGGATGCTATCACAAAGCCCCGCTTTGAGTCGCAGAGAGCCGCTGGTAATTAAATTGTAATTCACTTCAACTTTTAGCCTCACCCTGCTGCCAGCCCCCGGGCACGCGTCTGCGCCTGCCGAGCCCCAGCTCCTTGCCAATACTTTCCACCCCCTGTTAACCAAACCAAAATCCACTGAAGGCCCCTCAAAGACCCGCAGGTCCCTGCAATACCTTGTAGAAACCCTTCAGACTCCGCTTTCGTCCTTGAACATGGCTAAATGACAACTAAATTACAATTACCATAATGGCTGGGAAAGGGCAAAAGGTAAAAAGGCAACCTCAGATGGCGGCAGACAAGGTCCTGTCGCAATCAGCTACACACAAAACAACAACAAAAACCAGCTAGTGGGCGTGGCAGCAGCCTTGCAGTGGGCGGTGGGTGGTGGTTGGTCTTTGGTGGCTTGTGGGTTCTAAACTCTAGACAATGCAGAAAATTGCTGCATACTTTGGGACAAGTTTACGTTACACGATGAGGAGCATGCATTGGAAATTGGAAAAGTTTTCTCCGGGCATAAGTTTAGTTTACCTGTTTGCTCATTATCAAATATCGATCAAATAAAATTACTTGGAAAGTTTTCTATTATAATGACTCACCCATTTGACACTTACCTGTTGCAGTGTGAATTCGGTCTCTGGCCCCTCTCCCTCAGATATTTCTTTTATATACGTTTCTTATTTTACACATACAGTTTTTGTTTTCAGCAACGGATCGCTTAAATCCGTTTGCTAGCTTAATATTAAATCATTTTGACTGCAATTCCAAAAGTGAGCAAAGTAGGAAAAATCGTATACAAAAATTCGCTTGCCAAGACAGTTCAAAAAATATTTACAGAGGTGTATGGACAAAATTTAAGTAAAATTCTTGTGTTCTCAGTACAATTTACAGCATGCCAGAAATTGAAGGTTGAAAAGGGGTTCGTAGCGGGGGTGTTGGATACCAAAAATGTGCTGTGTATAAGTGTGTGCCAAAAAAAGTAAGAAGGGAAGACGAAAATGTTGTATGTGCCACGCATAAATCAGAGAGAGTAAAAGAGAAAGTAGATTGGGGGAGGGGGATTGGGTCAAATTTGATTGGATTTCGGTTAACGTGTGGAAAATTGTTGAAACTTTCGCAGCTGGGGGTTTTCCACTAACTTTTTTCCAGCCAAATTGTGCGCCAAATGCGAAATATACCGAGCTGTCCGATTTCCGGGTCGCTGGGGCGTCTCACTTTCACTTTTCTCCAAGGATGGCGATGTGTGTGTGTGTGTGCGATGTGTGTTTTAGCGTGTGTGTGTTGGTGAGGCAACCAAGGCAACAGAAGCAACACTGAACACAATCACTCGTCCTTCCACTCACACAAACGCGCGATAAAAGCGGAAATTGGATCGCAGGAAATTCAAATAATTTCGACTCGCAAAAAACAAAGTGCTGTGCTGAAGCTGATGGCCGATAATTTGGTTTTTGTCTTGGTCTCTACTATGGCATTTGGCCCACACGCACACTCACACCCACACAGAAAGCAGAAGCGTTAGCTGGACGAGCAATGAACCGTTTCGCACGAGGCACAGGAGCGTTCTGGCCGAAATATTGGTGTCTACATCTGAGGAGGAGTCCTTTTCGAGTCCGCCGCTCCTGCGCATGTCCCTCGCCAATCGATCCGCTTCGGTGGTGGTGGCCCCGACTCCCCTGGCCACCTGGTCCTGGCCAGCGCAACGTGGCCCACAGCCACTTGTTTGCATCATCGCGTGTTTATCTCGCGGAGGCGCAGGCGCCGACAAACATAAACAAAGCCCAAGCCCAACAAATGACAGTTTCACACTGACAGTTGACAGTTGGGCAATCGGTCCACTTGACATGCGCTCCGCAGGCGCCTTTCGCCGCCCAGGGTTTCGGTTTTCGGCGTGCGGTGGCAACCCTAGGGGCACTCGAAAAAAAAACAACCGACCGACCACACAGGGAATCAGAAGAAATGTGGGATTTTCAAGTGCAGCCCCATACTGGAACATACTGGGTTGGACTCTACGAAAATATTTTAAAACAATCATTTTAAAAGACTGTAATAAATAGGAATATAATATTATAAAATGATAGGTTTGAAATAATTTATAGAGTCATTTCACTAGATTATATTAAATAAGAGCAGAAAAAGCTTAAAAAAAAAACAAAGTTTTTCATTTAAGATTTTTCTCTAATTGTATGTCTTGAAATAAGTGCATTTATTCCATAAGTTTGAGCTGAATTAAATGTTCTTGACCTACTTAGTGGCGGTTTCGACTTTGGCTATCGATATAATTGATACTATCGGAAATTGAAGAAAATAAAAAACTAATTACAAAAATAAAGGAAAAATTAAAAAAAAAAATAAATGAAAATGTATGCTTGTATCATAAAACTTATATGGGAAAAACGATCTAAGCTTTACTGCGATTAAAGTGAAACAATATTCAATATTGAGCCCCAAAAATTGGGGCGATAGTATCGATTTAATTAAATTTTTCGTAAAAATATATAGCAGATTTACAAATTTCAGATAAACCGATAGAAGTGAGTACACATTTAAGTTTAATTTTACGTTGTCAAGCAGTGATTTTGTTTGCTTTTCCCACTGTGATCTGCAGAGTTCGCGAACTTCCGTTCTGCATCAGTGCTGGCTGCCTCAGCCGCAGAATCATTAATTACTTTCGCAGCTACCCCAAGCGAAAAGAAACCGAGGCAGGAGAAACTGTCGCAGAGGCGGCTAAAAATATCTCCCCTTGCGGCGCAGCGGACATAAATCTTCCGGCTGATCGGACGACCCACCTCGAACGGCAGCCGAGGCAGGTAGACGCAGACCAGCCGGAGGTCAGGGGTCAGGACAAAGACTGCACAATGTCCAGGTCCTGACGCCACCTCCCCGCGGCGATTGGTGAAACGCACAAGTCAATTTCAATTGCATTACCACTTGACACGTCGCGACGAAAACAAATAAACAAACACGATCCCAAGGATGCGGCAGCCGTGAGAAAAGCAGTGAGAATGAACGAACTATGCAGCAGATATACCCGCCTCGCACACAAGAAGCCAGATGAGATGGACTGAGTTCGGGTCGTCTTCTTCGGACGACGCCTCCGCATCGGTCTTTAGCTTCTGGCCGATCTCAGCTGCCTGCTGGGCAATAGCTCTTGTCAGTCGTCGTCGAACAGCCGCATCTCTCAGACGCCCAGCGGATGTGGCACCAGAAGAACAACACAAATATCCACGAGATACATTCGTTCGCATAGTCGAGAAACTGAAACTAAAAAGTATCCCCAAGATACACGCTCATGTGCGCGGCTTTAAGTGAATATAATTGAGGAACAAGTGATATAAATAGTGGGATAAACTCTTTCTTCAACCGCGGCACGTGCCGGGCACACTTTCCCCCTTCAAATCTGCGTGAGTTTTAACCCTATATAATCTAAAATCTATTTATATGTAGGTATATATATTTTCTGGCGAAGTGCATCAGCAAGAGGCATACGGCGTATACTGAATATATAATGTGCCATTTTGGGAGCACTTCGCGCAATTTGCGCATCTCTAAATATTTTAGGTCCCGTTTGCTTTGGCTAAATAGAGAAAACATAGAAATATTGAAATGATGTATTTATACAAAAAAAATATGTTTATCGAGACTTCTAAATAGACTGTGAACAAACAATATTCGAACAAAAAATATTAGCCTTTAAAGTATCTTAAGTACCTTTTTGAAAGACTGCTGAAATGTGGTAGACAAAGTATTATCGATCTTTATCAAACTGAAATCTGCCAATATAGGTTTTTTACATTTCCTTTGCGAAAAATATTATAATGTTCTTGCGTTCCCAGTGATAAAAGTGAATGCCGAAATTTTCTTGTGATCATCGCAGTGTTTCTCTACTCCTCTCTCGATCTCTTTCTGTTGTCTGCGATTTTCTACAGCTGCCGCCGACACTTATAAATATATTTACATATATTAGCGTGTCCTACAGATATATTATCGTTCGTATATCTGCACATGTACTTTCATCAGCGCGATTCTATATTAATTTTTGCTTACTTGTCGCTACGGCTGTGTCGCCCATTTCCGTTTGTTGTCGTCATTAGTTGATGTTGTTGATGCCAAATTTAAATAATATTTCTCTATAGAAAATAGCGTCCTTAAAACTATCTACGTCCGGATGATTTTATAAACATTTTTAAAAATATTATAATGTTGTTTAATTTAAAGGATCCTTCGCTTTAAAGGACTTTTAAAAAAGGCTGGCGCCCACATTCTTCCAGATTTGGTAAAAGTTGTAATGTAATTTTGTTGTGTTTATTAATACTAATACCTAAATGACCACTAGATGGAGATAGTAGCTTTGACGACTGCATATCTCGATCTCCCTCGCACCCCTTTTAGCTAGGTTACGGGTATCCGATAGTCGAAGTACTCGACTATAGCGTTCTCCCTTGTTTCAATTTAGAAACAGCATATTTTAATTTAATTTTAATCTTAAAGACACCGCAGGAAATTTTAAAGTGTACTGTATGGCATACGGTGTAGTTACCAATAAATATAATTCATAAATCCATTCTAAGAAATGACTCGAACTAAATATTTCCAGCGAATTCATAACTTCAATTCATGTTATTAGAAATTTACTTCGACATATTTATTGCAAGGGAATGGATCCCTGAATCAGAGGTATTTTCTTATCACTAAACTCAATACAAAAAATATGTGCTATAGTCAGTGTTGGGACATACCTAGATCCTTTTACCTAGGTACGTACCTAGGTACAATTTAGTGGTACCTTTTACCTTACCTAGGTATACAAATAATTGAGTACCTTTTACCTTACCTAGGTATTTATTTTTATATACCTTTGGAATTATTAAGGTACTTACATAGGTATTAAACATTGCTCTGATTTAAAATAGCCAAATCTGACTGCGACACTGTAGTATCGTTTCATTGTATCGTTTCGTTTCAGAATTGTAATAGTCGGAACGCAGCATTAGTAATTCAGCCGTTCTATTGTTTGTTTTGTGAAGTTAAAACTAATCGCAGTTTTTTTTATATAATTTTGTGCACGTATGTATGTTCCCATCACTACATCAATTTATTTATGAAACCAAAGTGTATTTGGCGCGCAAAAATGCCGTATGTACGTAAACAAACGGCATATACATGCATATGCACAATATATAGTCAATGTTTCTACATACGGAATTTTTGCGCGCCAAATATGTACATGAGTGTTTCATAAATACATTAATGAAGTGATACGTGCATAAAATTATTCATGCCGCGTGGTTTAAAAATATATGCACAAAATTAAAACATTTAAATTTAAATGAAATGAAAAGATATTGTTTGATTAAGACGACTAAAAACTGAAAACTAGTCTTATTTTAAGTTTAAATGATTACATTGAACAAAACAAAAAAATTATAAAAAATAAAAAATACCTTATAAATACCTTTTACCTTTACCTAGGTACTGGGAAATTTAAGTACCTTTACCTTACCTAGGTATTTATTTTTGACAATACCTTTTACCTTACCTAGGTAAAAAAACACAGTACCTTTCCCAACACTGGCTATAGTACAATATGAAGTTCACACCCTTGAGCTTTTATTTGAGTTAAATCATGAAGGAATTCCCAGAAATTGCAATGGCATACGGGGTGTTGTTCAATCAACTCATTTAATGAAAGCATTTTGAAAGAGGAAGCTACCTCCACTTTTTCCGCAGAAAATCACTAAGCTTATTCCCAACTTAAATTTACTGCAACGCTCTCATAGACATGCTCATACGTACAGCCCAATTCTATAGTTCATCCTAGGCAATAAATGCATCAAAAGAAAATTATTTCTATTAATGTAACCCTCCTATCAAATAATATCCAAGCTTTTTTGTGTACTGAGTAAAATCCTTTTAATTATTTCCTTAAATATGAAAGGACTACTGGACTGTGCAGTTTCAAAGGCCCGTACATATTTCTATATTTAGCTTAGAATTATTCCCCTTTACTACGATTTAATTGACAGATTAACATTTCAAAGCAGCCAACGAAATGCTGCAATTGAATTATTTCCTACGCCGTGCAAATCTTGCTTTGTAAGCCTGGCCAGCAGCACCTGTTGGCCAATTGCACCTTGTGTTAAGACCAGGCTTACTTAAATTACAAGTGTCCGGCTTATAAGCTGGCACGTCACAATCTCCAGGCGTAGGACAGGAGCAAGATAAATGCATTTGTGTCCCATCCGTGGCGCTGATTAGGTGATATTACATCGCAGGGCGAAAGGACGCAGGATGTGCTGGAGGGGGGCCTTAATGCACTGCAAATTGAAAGAGGAAACGCAGCTACGTCTGAAACTGACGCACAAGCCGGCCCATCGACCCCCCTCGAGGCTCCTGATCAGAAAAGGGGGTTTCGCCACTGCAGCGGCTGATGTAGCTAAATTCAATTTCCAGTAGTTTGCATTAATTTCCCGGCTTATGCCGACCGCCAGAGTGCGCCACTGAGTCCGCCCGCCTCCCCGCCCCTTTCCCACTTTCACGTTCAATCAAAAACAGCAACAGCTTTCGCTGCCTGAGAGAGAGCGAGTGGATGCCGAGGAAAATCCAGCGAGTCAATGGAGGGGTATCCTCAATTTCCGAACGCATCTCGTACATCCTTTGGCTCGATTTCAGGCACAGGATATTCGTTTAGCTGCCGACGCAAGATGCCGATGCCAAGGATGCTGGCCGGGCTCGAACGAATTTCCCCACATTTCAGTCTTCGTTTGCCGAGCGTCGTGCGCGCAAGTATCCCTCAGATACGCGGATAGACGGCCTCCAAAAAAAAAAAACAACATAATATACCCAAAAAGAAAAAATAGGAAACCTGGAGAAAAAACTATAATTCACTATAACAACAGTGCAAAATAAAATTTTACAACAATATCCGTGGGCAAATGAAAAGGAAAAGGAAACGTGAAAAGTGCAACTGAATACATCACATTTTTCTTCAGGAAAAAACATATTTTCCTCAGCACTATACATAATTCAAAGGCAGCAGCAGCTTTGCCTATTTCGGGAAACGAAAAATGAGTGCGTTATGGTAAAAGCGATTACATATTCGAAATTAAAACATAAATCCTAAGCTTTAGAAGCTAGAAAGTACCCATAATGCTGTGAAAAACCGTGTTAAATCTAATGAAAAATTTGTTGAGCTGCAGGAAAAATTTCGTTACTTCCAAGCCGTGTGTTTGTGTGTGTGTGGTGTGTTTTTTTGTGTAGTATCTTTTGTGCGCCCTGGCTCCTCTGTATCTGTGAGATACGCAAAACAATTTGTCTGCGCCATTAGTAGCGAAGAGTGTCCTATGTGTGTGTGTATCCTGCGCAGTCAACGATACCGAAGCTGCGTCTCGCATCCTGGCAAATCCTTGCCCCCATCACCGCCACCCAAAAGGAGTCGGGGACCGAGGGCAGCGCAATATTTGCGACGTTGACGCAGCCTCCACTCGCTCCTTCTAATGTTGTTGTTGCTCCTGAGGCGGCACTGTGTGTGTATCTGCAAAATACAAAATTCAGACCAGCGATACTGTCCATGTGCCTGGTCCGTTAGGTTGCTGTCTTAAAATTTCATTTTACAAAGTAATACTGTTTTTTTAATTAGGAGTTTCATTTTGAATTTCTGAGTAACTTATATTGTCAGGACTATGAGTTTTTGGAACACTATATTATTTAAATAACTTGGTTCCAGTAAATTCAAGTAATATTTCTCTTTAATTATTTCTTTTGTTTATTTTACAGTGAAGTAAATTTTGTTATTTCAGCCCCTAAATCAAATACGAAATAAGAAATTATTTAGTTAACTCGGTACAATAAATTTAAGAAATATTCTTTTTTTCTGATTTTATTTGCCTTATTATTAAATTATTTATTTAAACACACATCTGGAAGAAAGCCTTTTGTTATTCAACGTAATTTTAAACCATAAGTTTGTACGTCATTATTGCTCAAAATTTCTACAATTTAAGGGCCCAGGCGTAAAATAGCTTCCGTTCTTGTTATTAAATGTTAAAAAAAAAAATAAAAAGGAAAAAACTCAGGCCAAAATATGAAATTATTAAATTATATGAAATTGCCATCTTTCATGAATAAAAAGGTTTCTATATTTCATATACTTAGTTATATAGTTACCTTACCATCTACTATCGTTTAAAGGAAAAAACCTTCTTTAACCTTCTTTGTTTGTAAGTTGTTTAAGAATATCCTCACGAGGCACAGTAGCCCAGTTCCAAATATTTCTTAAAACAGACCGACTCTGCCGACAGGAAACTTTGAGGCTTATTTTTGACCGCGTAATGGCGGTTCCACGCAAAAGTCGCTGTTCCAGAGCAGTTCAGAAATTGATCTGCATGATAGATAGTTATCCTCTGCCTTCCTAATTATGCTCCAAAAAAGAATACTCTCAAAATCAAGCTCCTGAGTGGGCTTCACCGTAACCCTCGTAACTTCTGGCACTTGTCCGTGTCTTGAACTTTTGCCTCAACGCGAGTTCGCTTCCTGTTAAAAATGGAGGGGGCATTTTGCATGCATGTGTAGTTTCAGCTAGTTAGCTTACCGCTTTTCCAGTTCAGCGCTTTCCCGCTTCACCGTTACTCGCAGGACTTTCAGCTTCAGTTGCGTTTCCGTTTTCTCGCTGCAATCCTCGGAAGAAAGAGAAGGGGGGTTAAAAACTCTCAAGTTCTCGCTACTTTTCCCATTTTTGCTTTTTTTCCTTTTTACGAGGCGTGTTTTGGCCTTCTTTGTGTTCGTGTGTGTGTGTATTTACAATTCCGTTTCGTTGTTGTTTTCGCGACACGACAGCCATTTTGTGTAGCATACTTTGCGTACTATGAAGTTACACACACACATACCAACGAGAGTTTCATTTTTATTTGTGTGGAAAATTTCCCGACTTTTTCGCTTTCCCAATATGGGATATATTTTTTTCTGCTGGGGCTCGCTCGGCCAAAATAATAGAAAATGCGAAAAAGCGAAAGGCAGCAACAACAACATTTCCTAGCCCCTCTTCTTCACACTTTCCTTCACTATCGCTCTCTCTCTCTCGCACACTTGTCTATTTCAAAGTCTAGTATCCAGAAGAAAAAAAGAAATGAAAAATGTAAGCTGCAAAATCAAATAAAATAAATGCAGTTGTCGTTCGACAAACGAAATAAACCCCGAAAAGAAAATGCGAGAAAATACCAGTATCCGATTGTGTGTGTGTTTGTGGAAAAGCGAAATGTTAAAAGTGATTTTGTACGACGCCCCTCGACCAGAAGAAAATGCCTGTGTCTATACGCGAAAAATAGATTGATTCGTTCTAAAAGCCAAAAAATAATTATGAAGAAATCCATTTGGACATTTGGATTTAGTCTCTTGAGAAAGAAACACATGTGCATACATATATGTATCAAAAGAAATTTAGAATCAGGCCAATATTTTGCAATCAGAAAAGCAATCAAAAGAGCAATATATTTGATAAGTAAACTGCTTTAAGTTAATTTTAAAGAAAATTTTAGATATTATTTTGCATCGATTTTAATTTAGTTTGTACTTATATTTATTTAAGATATAACATTTAACCGCCTTCTGAGACTTTAAGGCTAAATAACACCTAATAGTAATTTCTTGGAAACCCAAACTTTACAGCTTTTATTCTTACCGCATAGAACAACTCTTTGAGTGTCAGTTTGAGCCAATTTCTGGGAATTTACGAATTTTCAAATAGTGCAATGGTGCGAAAAGCTTACCAGAAATCAAAACTATTATAATGTGCAAACTGCATTGCACTTCATCAGATTTCTGCAGGTAATCGGAAGACCTGCCATCGCACAGTTTTCATTACCGAGAATGAAATTTCAGTTTTCCGGGAAAAACACGTTCTCTAAGAAAGGCAATCCGATTGCATCTTGCCTTGGGCTTCCATTGTCAAAATGCTCGCCTGCGGGAGGCAGCACTTTCATTGATTTGCCACAAGGATGAGAGGTTTGGGTGCTAGTCCTTTGAAACCGGACACATGTGGCTGTGTGGCTCGGGCTAAAACCTAAAACCCCTGCATTATGAAATGTCGTTACGTGGGAGAAATATCTCTACCTAAAAGTCAAATGTCAATGCCGCTGATTAATTATAACATTTCGCCTTCAAATTTCCCATTTTTTCCACAGAATCGAGCGAAGGTGGCAATTAATTAGGGATAAAACCAACACACTCACCTGCGGGTGAGAGCTTTAGCGATGAGCTGCCTGCACTTGAAGAACTTCAAATGCGCCGACTGGTCGCCGTCTTTGCCCAGGAGTTAAGCAACTGAATATCATAGCATAAGTACACACCGCACTCAGAGGCATTTTTCCGGAGGAATTCTTCACGTGAAGTCTATTGAAAGTGGTTTTCACAAGAGGGTCGTTAAGTATGCCGCCGCACAGGCAGCTGGTGGTGGTGCCGATGGTGGTGCTAGCCATCCTGACCCTCCTGGCGGACCCCTCGCTTGCCCAGCGACCGCTGATCATGAACCACACCTTCAGCTCGCTGCCCATGTCCCAGCATCCGAGTTTCAACAGTTGGCCAGGTGCCTCGGGCGGAAAGCAATTGCGTAACGGCCGGTTGCACGAGCAACCCTTGCCTCTGCCACAGCCCACTTTGCCGGTGGCCACGCAGTACGAGGACTACGAGGCCGCACCGCCAGGATCGCGAAGGGATAACAAGAGGCGACTGGCCCAAATGGCCCAGCGTCCCGGAAGCGGAAATGGCGGGCGGCGCGGCATGGAATCGCTGCGAAAGGAGCTAATGAATCCCTCGGTGGGTGGTCCGGGCGGAGGAATTTCCGGCGGAAGTGCCGGCTACCCCTCGTACTCCGCCACCTCTTCCATCGGGCGAATAGATGGAATGCGCCAGAACACAGGATCCTCGGATCATTATGGAGCCCTATACGAGCAGCTGAAGCAGCCCAGTGGCATGTCCGCCATGACGGCTGGCCCCTACTCCACTCGATTCCCTCCTCTGTACGCCGGTGTGGACGACCAGCCCAAGCGCTCGAATCAGCGGAAGAACTCCATCAGTGAGCTGTACAAGCTGAAGAAGGCCCTCAATCAAGCGGATGAGCCTGCTGGCGGGGTAACCCATGGCAACTTTGAAGGCGATCCGCAGCCCTCGTCGGCGGATCCGCTGCAGGAAATCAAGGATCGCATCCGAGATACATCCCCGAATGCGGTGAGTTTAAGTCTAATATCGGATATCCCACTTCAGCTAAATAAGATAGTTTTTTTTATTCAAAGTACTATAACTATAAACTATAAAATTAACTTAAAATTTAAGTCTAATCAAATTTATTTCAATTTGATCTTACATAAGACAGCTATGCTTCTGATACATTTTGATTTTTATACCCTTGCAGAGGGTATTATGTCAGAAGTTTGCAACGCAGTGAAGGAGACGTTTCCGACCCCATAAAGTATATATATTCTTGATCAGCATCACTAGACGAGTCGATCTAGCCATGTCCGTCTGTCCATCCGTCTGTTCGTCCGTTTCTACGCAAACTAGTCTCTCAGTTTTAAAGCTATCGGCTTGAAACTTTCCCAAAAGTCTTTTTTCTATTGCAGGTAGTACCGGATCGGACAACTATATCTTATAGCTCCCATAGGAAGGAAACGTTAAAAAAATTCTAGCTTCGGTGTTTTTTGAAATAAAACCTTCTATTCTTGGAAATATTACTTCTTAAATATTTCCGAATTTCGAATAAAATATTTAAAAAATCGGACGACTATATCATATAGCTGCCATAGGAACAATCGGAAAATTAATGGGAAAGACATAGAAAATAAATTTGAATATTTCCGAGTTTTTAATTAAATTTAACAAAAATCGGACGACTTTATTCTATAGCTGCAATAGCGACGGATAGAAAAAATAATGTTAAAATAATAAGAAATTTGAATACTCTTTTTAATGGTAATACTTTGATTAAAAGAAATGCTTAATGCTTAATTAAATTTATAATTTAATTATTTTTTAGAACACCTACGCTCCCCACACGGATGCCACGCCCTCGTCAGAGTACGAGTACGAACTGGGCGTAAAGTGCAATTTCGAGACCCCATGCAGCTGGACCTGGGGCAACTACACGGACGGCTTCCAAGTTATATCCGGCATGGAATTGTTCAAGAAGAATCTCACAGGACTACTGCCAGGACCCACAGCTGACAGCATCGACGATGCAAACGGGAGATTCCTGTACGCCCGCGTGCTTCCGAACTCGAAGCCCCTGAATCTCACCTCGCCGGAATTCAGCACCACCATGGAGAAGTGCTTTCTGGAGGTGTACATGCACCAGAGCGACATGAGCCACGGACTTTCGCGGGTGGTGGTGGAGCCCCTTCACACGGCGGAGAGCAGTTGGGTTCCGGCCGAGATCCTGGGCGACAATCAGCGCCAGTGGACCAGGAAGGTATATCGCCTGGGTCGCGTCTCCCGCGATTTCCGCATCGTTTTCGAAGTGGTTCCCGATCTGCGGCCGGGCCAGAAGGGCCATGTGGCGCTGGACAACCTTCGGATGGTGAACTGCTTCCCCGAGGGTACAAAGTCGGAAAAGTGCAGCACCTCGCAGGTCAAGTGCACCGCCAACAAGGTGCCCGTGTGCATCCACCTGCCGCGAATCTGCGACATCACCAGGGACTGCGATGATGCGGAGGACGAGCAGCAGTCGTGTGGTGAGTACTATTAGTTTTCCCATGATTTCCCAAGAGACCTATTAATCCACGCACTTTAGATAAAATACCCTACGGCGGTCGGTGTGACTTCGAGGAGGACTGGTGCGGTTGGCGGGACTCGGGGAAGACGACGCTCACCTGGTCGCGGCACACGGGATCCTCACCCACCCACGACACCGGACCGGACGGGGATCACACGATGCAGCATCTGCAGAACAACACCAGCGGCTACTACATGCTGGTCAACATGAATCAGCACCAGAACAACACGGAAAAGAACTCGATCATTGGTTTCGCCAGCAATGCGGTCATGGTCAGCAAGACCTTTAATCCGCCGCCATCGGTGCATGGAAACCCGGACTCTCCCTATCGCAACTCCTGTGTGGTAAGGTTCTTCGTCCACCAGTTCGGCAAGAATCCGGGCAGCATCAATCTCTCCGTGGTGGAGATGAAGGAGAAGGAGAACATCACCACCACGCTGTGGTGGTGCACCAAAAACCAGGGCAGCGATTGGGTCAGGTCGGAATATGTACTGCCAAATATTACGTCCAAGTGAGTATTTGATTAGAAGGCCCTCTTTGGAGAAGAACTAATCCATTCCCGACTTCCCTAGATACTATCTGCAATTCGAAGCTCGCATGGGCATGAGAATCTACTCGGATGTGGCTGTGGACGACTTCTCGCTGAGTCCCGAATGCTTCGGCCTCAATATCCCGGCAGATCACCTAGGTGGCTACAACTACTGGGATGTCCGGCAGAATCTGAAGAGTCCTTCCTACAAAGACTTCGAGTACACCAACTGTAAGTTGAGACTATGAACCGATTGATTTTGTAACTAACTCATGCATCACCTATTTTAGATCTTGAGCTAACCAGCTGCGACACTCGTGGCATGATAGGACCCTCGCAGGCGGAGTGTGAAGCTGCCTACAGGGAGCAAAACAAAACGCATGTCCTTCGGGAGGTTCATGTGGTGGAGGACCAGAGCAGCTACAAGGGCATGCAGAAGTGGAAGGTTCCCCACGAGGGACACTACACGTGAGTTGATGGTGCACCTTGATCAAGAGCTTCCTTTCTTATGTACCGCATTCCATTCCCATTCAGGATCATTGCCAAGGGCGCCAGCGGAGGTCTGGGTTCCGGTGGCGTGGGCAGCTCTCGAGGATCGGTGGCCGTGGCCGTGCTGGAGCTTCACAAGCACGAGGAACTTTACTTCCTCGTCGGACAGCAGGGCGAGAATGCCTGCATCAAGTCGATGGGGGTTCTCAAGGAAGCTGGTTGCGGCACCGATCACGACCTGGACTTGGGCCAATATAGCTTCCGTTCCAAGCAGGACATGGTCAAGAATATCTATATCGAAAATGGCGCCGGCGGCGGTGGCGGTGGCTCCTATGTCTTCCTCCTCAATCAGGCGAAGAACGAGGCAGTGCCTCTTTTGGTGGCCGGTGGTGGCGGAGGTCTTGGAATCGGCCAGTACATAGACGAGGACTTCCAGCACGGACAGAAGGCAAAGCCCCTGCAACCGCCGGAAAGTGGGCAGATCAACGGAGAGCCGCTGAACAAGAAGACCGCCGGACCAGGCGGAGGATGGAGGGCCAAGGAGGACCAGGCCCTGAGTCCCACCAACGGGGCTGCCCTACTGCAGGGCGGTCGTGGTGGCCACTCCTGCTACGTTGAGCTGGCGGACAACGGAACCTCCGTTCACAGGCATGGCCAAGGTGGCTTCGGTGGCGGCGGCGGTGGCTGCAACACTGGAGGAGGAGGTGGTGGCTACGCCGGCGGAGATGTCTACCTGACCGAGTCGAATGGCGAGGGAGGCAGCTCCTACATCAGTCCCAGTCGAAGTCTCCGCGAAATTAGCGAAATACATGCGGGAGCCAGCAGTGGACCAGGCGCCATCATCATCATTCCGGCCATCGAGGGCTGTGGCTGCGACTACAGGTGCGTCGCCCTGGACGAGTTCCGCTCGAAGGTGCGGTGCATCTGCCCGGATGGCTGGAGCCTGAAGCGGGACAATCACACCGCCTGCGAGATTCGCGAGGAGGCGGGCAAGTCATCCTTCCAGTACCTCGTCTCCATCCTGATGATTTCGCTGGCAGTGCTCTTCATCTGCATAGCGGCACTCATCTTTATGCTGTGTAAGTACACTTTAGAAAACTGTTTTTAAACCGGAATAAAATGTAAGAGTATTTTAGGTAATTGTCTTTTCGCTTCTTGAAAGATTTTGCTTCGACAAAAATATATATTGTTAAAATTTGAACAGCAGAAAGTTGCTGAGGAATTGCAAATGAATTAAATCTTATAAATATTTTTATTTATTCTTTAAGAAAGATTAAATAATTACATTATCATTTATGATATTAAAAACAAGAAATATCAAATTGAATTGAAATAAGCAGGGACCGTAAATAATGATTATCGATGTATTTTTCAAGCAAAAAAATCATCCACTTGGAAAAGCCGTACAAACAAACGAATTATACCAATCGGCTACTATTTGTGTGCTCTATCCATATCCGCAATGATCTTTTACTTCTTGATTTTTATACATTTTACTCTATTTTAATAATTATTTGTTGAGTTTTTTTCAATCGCTCAAAGAATAATTATTATTATTGTGAGCAAAAAAAATATCGATAAAAAAATAATGATTATTTTTTGAGCGTTATTTTTTCGCTCAAAATATCGCTCAAAGTGGGTCTCCTTTCTCAGTAGTTTCTTTGGAAAAATGTTTTCGCAGCATTATAAAGTGAACCTCGACGACCCCACAAAACCTCATTTTTAGATTTGAAAAAAAAGTTTAAAAAATAATTTTTTATATATTTAGAAGAGCGATATTTTGAGCGAAAAAGAACGCTAAAAAAATAATCATTATTTTTTAATCGATATTTTTTTCGCTCACAATAATAATAATTATTCTTTGAGCGATTGAAAAAAACTCAACAAGTAATTATTAAAATGGAGTTCAATTTATAAAAATCAATAAATAATCATTAAATATTGATTTTTATTATATCACTTGTAATGATTACGGTCTCTGGAAATAAGTTAATAAAATTTTTTTTTGAACAAGTATTCATGCATTAGATTTAGGGTCATATTTGCTGAATCTTCCCAGCAAGCAATTTGAGCGTTTTCTGCCTGTTTCCTAATACTTTTTTCTGAGCATTTACAGTCATAAAGTGTGCAAAAAAGAGTCCGGAAAGAGTGTTTTTTACCCTGAAAACGGTCGCACTTTAAGAGGATGATTTCTGAGTCCGATCTGACTCTTTTCTGATTTTTACTTTGATTTTCCATACCATCGTTCAGAATATGCTCAGACATAAGATCTTTTTATGACCCTATGCCTAGAGAGCACCAAATGTGCTCCGAAAACGCTCTTATTTATGTGCCGACTCAGAAAACGCTCTGAAACGAGGCTCTTTTCAGACACACAATTAAGAGCGCTCCTAACATTGCTTGCTGGGTTCCGACATTAATTTGTACTAATCAGATTGTTTTTCCCTTACCTCAGACAATCGCTATCAACGGAAGAAACAGTCGAAGAAGCGCCACAAGATGCTCGTGGAGCAGGATCTTCAGTTAACACGATTGCGCAACAATATCGACGATTCCAATCTGAACAACTTCAATCCCAACTACGGATGCGATGGCATCCTCAATGGCCACATCGATGTCAACAGCTTACCCCAAGTGGCACGCGACTCTCTGCAGTTGGTCAAGTGAGTACCTGAGCTTAGTGGATAACCTAGTCCACCTACTAACATTCCACCTCTCAAAATTTTCAGTGCCCTGGGCAAAGGTGCTTTTGGCGAGGTATACATGGCATTGTATCGCCATCGGGACGGAGACGCCGTGGAAATGGGCGTGGCAGTGAAAACCCTGCGCGAAGATCCCAAGCGGGAAAAGGAGGAGGACTTCCTCAAGGAGGCAGCCATAATGGCCAAGTTCAATCACCCGAATATGGTGCACTTAATTGGCGTCTGCTTCGACCGTCAGCCGTACTACATAGTTCTGGAGCTACTCGCCGGCGGGGATCTGCAAAAGTTCTTGAGGGAGAATAGAAACACCCCAGAACGACCCTCCCTCTTGACCATGAAGGACCTGCTGTTCTGCGCCCTGGACGTGGCCAAGGGATGTCGTTACATGGAGAGCAAGCGATTCATCCATCGGGACATTGCCGCCAGGAACTGTCTGCTGAGCAGCAAGGGTCCAGGCCGAGTGGTGAAGATCGCTGACTTCGGCATGTCCCGGGACATCTACAGATCGGACTACTATCGCAAGGGAGGCAAGGCCATGTTGCCCATCAAGTGGATGCCGCCGGAAGCCTTCCTGGATGGCATATTCACCTCCAAGACGGACGTCTGGTCCTTTGGCATCCTCCTGTGGGAGGTCTTCAGTCTGGGCCGTTCGCCATATCCCGGTCAGCACAACACGCAGGTGATGGAGCTGGTGGTGCGTGGCGGTCGATTGGGGTCACCCACCGAGTGCCCCGTCTCCATATACAAGGTCATGGCCGACTGCTGGAACCCCACGCCCGAGGATCGACCCACTTTCATCACTCTGCTGGAGCACCTAACCGCCTGCACTCAGGATGCGAGCATAATGAACGCCCCGCTGCCCAATATCCTGGGGCCCACGGCCTCCGAAAGGGACGACACCGTCATCCGGCCGCCCAACGGCGAGGAGTTCTGCTTGGCGGTGCCCGACTACCTGGTACCTTTGCCCCCGGGTGGTAGCAGTAATCCGTCGGTGGCCAGTGGTTCGGGCTATGTTCCCGAGTCACAGCGCCAGCAGATGAGCTCCTGCACCCCACCGGCGGTCACGTCGCCCGCTGCACCTCATCCCAGGCCGGTGGAGAATCTCGCTGCCGCCAATGGCGATTGCTGGGAGACGTCTTTCATACTACCGAAGTCCAAGGTCGAGCCGCCGGTGACTGGAAGTGGCCACGACGTCCCACTGGCCGCCGGGGAGGAGGCCAAGCTGATCAGCCTGGACACACCGCAGCCCACGCCAACCACCATCCAACCACCGCTGTCCTTTGCCTCCCAGCTGGATGGCATTACGCTGGATCCCTCGGCGCTGTCCAAGGGTTTGCCCAACGGCAGTGCCAAGCAGTCGTACGCCAATGTGCAGGTGAAGAACGAGATCGAGGGAAAGCCCATCAACGGGGTGGTGGGCAACGGAACGGTGATGAACGGGGACGTCGCGACGGGTTCGGGTGGTGCCGATTCACCCTTCACCATCCAGGGATACGCGGAGCGGTACAAGGACAACAACAATCATTCCGAAATCAGTTGTTAAGGGGCACTCACAAAAATGGTAGCCCATAATCAGGATTATACTTCGAAAGTCAACTATTCAAATTTCCAAATGATTTGAAGATTTATAAAATCTTTAACCAAAGAGGACAGGTCAAGGATCTACCGATTAGCGATAAAAACATCCAGACTTTTGAATTATACTCCTGATTTTAGGCAGCCTCTTTGTCGCTCACCGAAAACTTTGCGAGGCCCAGGAAATTTGTCTTGTTTTTGGGGCAATCACAATTTGCTTGCGCCTCACCAGCGCATTAAATATATTTATTCTCGAATCATATGAGAAAACAAACAATTGGAATAACAGAAACCGAGTGAGAACTTCACAAAAAAATTGTATTGTAATTAATCTTAAATTTGTATTGCGAAAAACAAAAAAACCAAAGTCGGATTACAAGAAACTGCAAGTAACATATAAACTTAGTTGATATAAATAGTTTAGTTTTTTACCAGATATTAGTTTTGCGAAAACAGTAAAATGAAGTAAAAGAACGTTTTGCGAGAGGTTGTATATATTAATTGTATCTAAGTTTTACAATTACCTTTAGTTTAATTGAACTATTTTTTTATATCTTTAGTTGCCATACCCTTAGTTAACGTTTTAAGCTGATGACTGAAATGCCAAACAATATTCCTAAAGTAAAAAAAGTAAAGAACGAAACGATAGCTTATTTTTAATACGCAGTCCAGAACCGGGAACCAAGATGCCAACTCAAAGTAGTTCAAAGTGTCAAAGCAAATAGCTCGTTTAAAGTTCACAATAATACCACAGATGTAGTCAGATATGCCAACACATATGTTTTTAACATAGGACATATTTCATTTTAGGATTCTCGATTCTTGTATTCTTTACTCCGAATGAAATTAAACTTAGTGTAAATAACAAGCTTCCGTCGTAGCGAATTACGTATATTGTATGTAATTGAATAGTCCTAGGGATAATAAAAAGAAGTAGAGTATAAAGCGATAGAAGAAAAACTACAATTTACAGGGTGATTTTTATGAAAATTCAGTTGTATGTTTGAAAAACAAAAATTAGCATTAACGAAACCAAGTTGACGCAACGACTTTCAGCTCGATTTGAGTTGCTTAAAATGTTGTACAATATTCTTTCAGCACAGCCCTGTATTTGTTCATAATCATCATTAACGCTCTTTTTTCAGGTGTTGATCGGAATTCGAAATTTTGTACATTTAGTTGGAACGTAACAAACAAGCTTTAAATTATATAATTTTTATAAAGATATATTAACGATATACAAGTGAGGCGACAACATAATATTTAACCAAGCAGAAAATAAATGAATTATACAAGAACGAGGCTCGCAGGAGCCAAATTTAAATTATTATATATTGAGGTAGGTATACATGCATAAGCATTTATGTATGTACAATTAGGCATAAGCAAATTGAGTGTGTGTTTAAAACAGCAAATCGAAAAACAAAAAATATATACATACTTAGATAATGATACCGAACATATATAGGAAGAATAACGTTATGTCTATGTTTTGCTTTATGTACAAGTCTACTATTATATGCGCATTCATCTATATACACGCAAACATATTCTCGTATATAAACATATGTATAATCAACTTATATATCCAATATGTATGTGCGACTAAAGCGAACCGTAAATTTAAATGCTGAATACGCGGAAACCAAAAAACATGTAAATTACATTTATATTTACATAGGTCTAACACGCATATTCATCCGATCTCTCGTTTTTATTTTATAATACGTAGTTTCGCTTAAGATTAAATGAAATTTAACGATTTTTTAAAACTAAAATCATTTCTAGGTGAACAGATTATTTTAATAAAGTTTCAGGAATAATCATATAAAGTAAGAACGAGAAAAAGGTTGAATATACAATTTACAACATACTTTAAAAGCGACTTGTCACAGAAAATACCGGAACCCAAACAAAAAAAATGTACAAAATAAAATAAAAACCAATTGAGAGAAAATAGAAATAAATAAAAGTCTACCAATGTATGCTCACAATCGAGTGCTCAATAAGTGTACGAATATATGTATATGAATATATATCTCAGCATCCACGGCTTACACTTAGTCTTAACACTTAATCGAGTCGATAACTGGACAGTATTTCTTTGTTGCTGTACGTGTATCTATTATGGTTGTGCCGCGGCATCTCAAGTAAGCGAAATAAACTTACTCAAATGCATTACACACACATCTCCAGGAGATCCTTTCCGTATACATGCATATGTATAAAACACAGACACCTGCGAACGGGATTCCCCACATTTTTGTACCCTGACGACATTACCTTGTGTACCTAAAGCCCACAACCTGAAAGAGAAGATTAACATATGCATATATCCACAGATCGTTGTTGATTGATTGTTGGCACTGGTTCAGTTCGAGATTTTGGGATTTTTATTTGGGAAAGGAATCTATTTCCAATGCAGATCGGTTTGTGATCGTTATGTTATGGATTTAAAGAAAAGGCTGAATCATCACGATTCCGTAGTTTGGCAACAGTATGACATTTTTTATAGATTCAGTTAAATGGACGGTAAAGAAGGTTTAAATATTTATTGCTGATCATATGACAGAAGTAGTTCAATTCTTTAGTAATGGGCAGGCTGATTGGGATCTGAATGTTTTTGAAGCTTAGAACCAGGTCAAGGCATTTACTTCTGACGAGATTAATCATTGTTATCGGCATTTCGATTGGAATATCAGTAGCTTTGCATACACTTCTTTTCTCAACAATAAAAAAATCGCAACGAAGTTTAGAAAAGTAAACATAAATAACATATAAAAATATATATTTAAAGACAAATTTAAGAAATGAAGTAAATAAAAATCTCACACAATAAATGGTATTTTTATATACTAAGAAAACCCCGCAAAAAAAATTAAGAAAAAAGAAATGCAAGTTTAGTGCATGCGAACAGGCTTAAACTTAGCTCTAGCTATAAAGTAATATTATAATAAAAACAAAATTAATGGTTTTCATTTAAAATCGTAAATTATTTTGTTACAATTAAAAAGTAAAGAAAAACCAAAAATAAATAATAAACAAGAAACAGAAACGCAAAGACTAGAACCACATTTTGTAAGCTGGATCGCTTGAGTAATGGATTGGTGGCAAGTAATATACAATACAGCCTAAGCAAACCAAACAACAGCAAAAAGTCCATTTAGAGAAGCTACCACACAGGAAAGTAAAACGATTATATTGTCATAACTTGCTGAAAAATGATGTCGGCCGAAGAATGCGAACCGGAACTTGAGAATTCCACTCACATAGTATAATTTCCGATTCGGTCTAAGCTATAGAGTAATACCAGCTAAGAAACCTATAACTGACACTTACCCATGCTCGTGTCTCCCCTCACACCTACCTGCTCACCTACCCTCAACTTCGGATTTCCACATTTTCCATGCTTTTCCTCCCTTGTGAGTCGAGAGGACGAGTTTTGAATTATCTAAGCATAAGCACATGTCACAAAGCAAAATGAAAAAGTATAAATATATCTTAATGGCATATATATTTGGCGCTATGGAGTGGAGAACAATTTTAAAGTTGGTAGCGTGTAAACGCTGGAAATGCGAAATGACAAAAGCTGAGAAACTGAGAAAAAACGAATAAAAATGAAATTCATGTGTACAAAAACAAAATTAAACGTGTTTTTATTTGGGCCATTCGTAACTCCGCCATTAAAACTATTTCCCATGAAAAGTTCTTTGTAATTTTGTTTTATTGAGTTCTTTTTTAGATTGGATTAATGTCCTGTTTTTCATCAATTCATTTTCATTCATTTCATTACTAAAGTCAATTTCTTGCGATGGCCGATAAGAACTAAAACTTTATATAGCTTACAATTGGTTGGTATAGTTTTAGTTGCCCGCCACTGTCACGAAATATTATTATTGGATAGTTTTTATTTTTTCTAGAGGCTAATTGAACGTTTTTATTTAGGAAAATAAAAAGAAGAACGCGTTGGTATATTTGTATTATTATTTTGGAAGTGTATTTTATTGATGCACTGCAATTTACAAATCGATTTAGAAATAAAACATAATAAATTCTAGGCATAACATAAGATATTTCATAATTGCACGAAAACGAACCCGAGAACGAACTATATCCTGGCCGTAACCCGGCCAATATTACTTGGCCCATATCGATCAAACGAGACGGGAAGCAAAAGTCCAAAGTGGAGGAAGAGTTGGTTGATGACCCGATTTCCTACTGACTGGATGGAATGTTCTTACTATATGTGTCTTGGTTTCTGTGTGTGTGTTGTTTGTATAGGTTTTTTGTTTTGTTTTTTGTTTCTTTTTTTTAAATGTATCGCATTTAAATATAAATTTCATAATCATGTTTCTCTAATTGCGTTTGTTTCAAAAAACTTCATTCATAGTTTGTTATTTTTCGGAAACTCCATTTCTGGCTACGCTTAGATTTAGTTTTTAGGCTGCAAATGCTAAGAAATTATGTTTCTGATGTTTATATATAAATATAATTTTTGTTTTCATTAATTTATTATCATTATGATTTTTTTGTAGTTTTTCGCTTGTGTTTTCGCTTTTTGTCATATACATATACATAAATTGAATTTTGTATATCTGCATTTTGTCTCCTTTCGTATATAATTCCGCTCCTTCTGCTTTGTTTTATATAAATTGAAAACTTAATTGTAAATGTAAAAATGTTAAAACTACATTCAATTATAAATAATGTTGGTTTTTGTTGTCGTATTATTTATATGCAATGTTCGCTCGTTACGTAATAATATTTATAATTAATATTAATTAATTAGCATAGTTTACGTTACGTTTATGTAATTTTTAAAGCAATAACAAGCCATTTCTTTTAATTTCATTTATTCTCTTTTCTAATCATTGCTGAATTAATCGCTTTTGTTTGTCTCTTCAAATGTATTATAGTTTTGGATGTACTAATTCATGCAAATTGCTTCATTATCGATGAATCCCGACCATAAATTCACTCGACCAATACCTAACTCTTTATGCAAAAAGGTGGAATTCACTTCAACATCGGGCTTTCCCCTTGCGCGTTTAAATTATTTCACAAAATTGTACAATCTCGCAGAAGGAGAGAGATAAGTGGAGACAACAACCGACACCGGGCCTTAAAAAATTCTTGCCCTCTCACACCTGACCTGTCATTGCACCTGAATAAATGTGATGGATGCCATTTAATTACCCCATTGCGTTAATGTCAATATTTTAATCTGTTAGTTAGCCGATGCTCCTTGCTTCGTGGTTGTTTGGATGTGTTGTGGCTTCTGCTGTTTACTCATTTGTAACATATATAAAAAATATGAATATAACTATTTGCTAAGAACCTCTAAAATGTACGCCATGTTAAAGCATTTAGAAATCGCAAAGAAGAAGAACATCGCAGATCCTGCCAGATCCCAGCACATATACAAATGTCCGCAGTTGCTGTCTCCAAGCTTCCACACCGGTCGCCGTCGTCCGCACTTAATTACAAAAAGGGTATCAAGCGCGCCATCTTGAGCGCGTTCTCCAGGAAGGAGCTCCACAAGTCGTTCAGGCGCTTCGAGCGCGACATCAGGAAGCGCCAGGTGAGCAGCACCGCCACCAGTTTGGTCAGCTGGTGCAGATAGTAGAGCCTAGGCATCGAAACGAAATTTATTATTAAAATTAATAATTATAATTAATTTTTGTAAAATGCTATTTTTAAGATAACCCGAAAATTTCCCACCTGAGCATGCGCTTTCTGCTGGCCGGCAGCGATTCGGGTCGCTGCTTGAACAGGAACTCCCTGAAGCCCAGGACGTAGCGCTCCACGTACTTGTCCCAGTTGATGTGGCGCACGTCGAAGACGAAGATCTCGCGATCCTTGGGACTCAGCGTGTGCAGCAGGGCGTGGACGTTGTCGTCCTTGAAGCGCCATTGGCGTGTGGCGAAGTACTCGAGGCATTCCACAGCTTTGGCAATTTTGTTTTGTACGTTGACAACGCTATAAAGGGTACAACGGCGTTATAAGCATACTAATTGAAAGCTCTGGGGGAGCGGCCGGCCCAACTCACAATGGCTTCTTGCCCATGATTCTAGCCACTCCGTCCAGGATGTAGGCCGGCAAAAAGTGTTTGGCTATACAGTTCAGCGTGTTCATGGGGCGGTTCATGCGCAGGTCGCCAGTCGGATACCACAGGCAGCCCTCTGGGAAAATACAATAATATCCGTGTTAATTACGATGGTCACATTAGGAGCTTCTTGGGGGGCTCTTCTATTTGCTATTTTCTATTTGCTATTCTTAATTTTCTCTGCTCACCCAGGGGATGCTTGCGCACACTCGTCATGGCGTGTTTGACAAACTCCGACCAGATGATGGGATTGCGCTGGCCGGTGCAACAATTGTAGATGAGTAGGTTGTTGGACTTGCGGGTCGCTGTGCGCCAGGCGGCGGCAATCATCAGGTTAATCACAATATCGACAGGTACCATATCGGCCACATAGTTCTTCTCGCACATCATCGTGCGGAACATGCCCTTGGCCAGCGCCGAAACCAGGCCCGTTGGCCCATTGAAGTTGTCCACCCATCCGGCGAACGGCTCATTCAGACTGGCAGTCACTGCGAATAAATGCAAATAATTTACAAGAGGCGAAGAGATCCTGATTTAAATTTTTACATTTATTGAAAGCGAGTTAATGTCAACTTTCAGTTTTAGCGTATTATTTTGATTTTGTAATATATCCTATCTATTCAACTCACCAATCGATGGCCTCACAATGGCAACGGGCAGATTACCAGCCTCCTTAAGTAACATATGCTCCGCTAAGGCTTTTGTAAATGTGTACGTATTGGGGCGCTTGCCGATCAGGCGCGGTGTCAGCTAAGATATAAAAGTGGTCATTCGCTAACAAAACGAAATAATATCCAATGAAGGACCCACCTGATCAAGTATATCCTCCGGAAGCCAGTTGATTAGTGAAATGATATCGTCGGGATTATAGGGCGGTGCATAGATAACCTCAGACACATCGGTTCTATCGCAATTGCAATAGGCAGTGGATACATGGATTAGTGCCTGCAAGAGCGTCGGGGACGTCGCGACGGGTTCGGGTGGTGCCGATTCACCCTTCACCATCCAGGGATACGCGGAGCGGTACAAGGACAACAACAATCATTCCGAAATCAGTTGTTAAGGGGCACTCACAAAAATGGTAGCCCATAATCAGGATTATACTTCGAAAGTCAACTATTCAAATTTCCAAATGATTTGAAGATTTATAAAATCTTTAACCAAAGAGGACAGGTCAAGGATCTACCGATTAGCGATAAAAACATCCAGACTTTTGAATTATACTCCTGATTTTAGGCAGCCTCTTTGTCGCTCACCGAAAACTTTGCGAGGCCCAGGAAATTTGTCTTGTTTTTGGGGCAATCACAATTTGCTTGCGCCTCACCAGCGCATTAAATATATTTATTCTCGAATCATATGAGAAAACAAACAATTGGAATAACAGAAACCGAGTGAGAACTTCACAAAAAAATTGTATTGTAATTAATCTTAAATTTGTATTGCGAAAAACAAAAAAACCAAAGTCGGATTACAAGAAACTGCAAGTAACATATAAACTTAGTTGATATAAATAGTTTAGTTTTTTACCAGATATTAGTTTTGCGAAAACAGTAAAATGAAGTAAAAGAACGTTTTGCGAGAGGTTGTATATATTAATTGTATCTAAGTTTTACAATTACCTTTAGTTTAATTGAACTATTTTTTTATATCTTTAGTTGCCATACCCTTAGTTAACGTTTTAAGCTGATGACTGAAATGCCAAACAATATTCCTAAAGTAAAAAAAGTAAAGAACGAAACGATAGCTTATTTTTAATACGCAGTCCAGAACCGGGAACCAAGATGCCAACTCAAAGTAGTTCAAAGTGTCAAAGCAAATAGCTCGTTTAAAGTTCACAATAATACCACAGATGTAGTCAGATATGCCAACACATATGTTTTTAACATAGGACATATTTCATTTTAGGATTCTCGATTCTTGTATTCTTTACTCCGAATGAAATTAAACTTAGTGTAAATAACAAGCTTCCGTCGTAGCGAATTACGTATATTGTATGTAATTGAATAGTCCTAGGGATAATAAAAAGAAGTAGAGTATAAAGCGATAGAAGAAAAACTACAATTTACAGGGTGATTTTTATGAAAATTCAGTTGTATGTTTGAAAAACAAAAATTAGCATTAACGAAACCAAGTTGACGCAACGACTTTCAGCTCGATTTGAGTTGCTTAAAATGTTGTACAATATTCTTTCAGCACAGCCCTGTATTTGTTCATAATCATCATTAACGCTCTTTTTTCAGGTGTTGATCGGAATTCGAAATTTTGTACATTTAGTTGGAACGTAACAAACAAGCTTTAAATTATATAATTTTTATAAAGATATATTAACGATATACAAGTGAGGCGACAACATAATATTTAACCAAGCAGAAAATAAATGAATTATACAAGAACGAGGCTCGCAGGAGCCAAATTTAAATTATTATATATTGAGGTAGGTATACATGCATAAGCATTTATGTATGTACAATTAGGCATAAGCAAATTGAGTGTGTGTTTAAAACAGCAAATCGAAAAACAAAAAATATATACATACTTAGATAATGATACCGAACATATATAGGAAGAATAACGTTATGTCTATGTTTTGCTTTATGTACAAGTCTACTATTATATGCGCATTCATCTATATACACGCAAACATATTCTCGTATATAAACATATGTATAATCAACTTATATATCCAATATGTATGTGCGACTAAAGCGAACCGTAAATTTAAATGCTGAATACGCGGAAACCAAAAAACATGTAAATTACATTTATATTTACATAGGTCTAACACGCATATTCATCCGATCTCTCGTTTTTATTTTATAATACGTAGTTTCGCTCAAGATTAAATGAAATTTAACGATTTTTTAAAACTAAAATCATTTCTAGGTGAACAGATTATTTTAATAAAGTTTCAGGAATAATCATATAAAGTAAGAACGAGAAAAAGGTTGAATATACAATTTACAACATACTTTAAAAGCGACTTGTCACAGAAAATACCGGAACCCAAACAAAAAAAATGTACAAAATAAAATAAAAACCAATTGAGAGAAAATAGAAATAAATAAAAGTCTACCAATGTATGCTCACAATCGAGTGCTCAATAAGTGTACGAATATATGTATATGAATATATATCTCAGCATCCACGGCTTACACTTAGTCTTAACACTTAATCGAGTCGATAACTGGACAGTATTTCTTTGTTGCTGTACGTGTATCTATTATGGTTGTGCCGCGGCATCTCAAGTAAGCGAAATAAACTTACTCAAATGCATTACACACACATCTCCAGGAGATCCTTTCCGTATACATGCATATGTATAAAACACAGACACCTGCGAACGGGATTCCCCACATTTTTGTACCCTGACGACATTACCTTGTGTACCTAAAGCCCACAACCTGAAAGAGAAGATTAACATATGCATATATCCACAGATCGTTGTTGATTGATTGTTGGCACTGGTTCAGTTCGAGATTTTGGGATTTTTATTTGGGAAAGGAATCTATTTCCAATGCAGATCGGTTTGTGATCGTTATGTTATGGATTTAAAGAAAAGGCTGAATCATCACGATTCCGTAGTTTGGCAACAGTATGACATTTTTTATAGATTCAGTTAAATGGACGGTAAAGAAGGTTTAAATATTTATTGCTGATCATATGACAGAAGTAGTTCAATTCTTTAGTAATGGGCAGGCTGATTGGGATCTGAATGTTTTTGAAGCTTAGAACCAGGTCAAGGCATTTACTTCTGACGAGATTAATCATTGTTATCGGCATTTCGATTGGAATATCAGTAGCTTTGCATACACTTCTTTTCTCAACAATAAAAAAATCGCAACGAAGTTTAGAAAAGTAAACATAAATAACATATAAAAATATATATTTAAAGACAAATTTAAGAAATGAAGTAAATAAAAATCTCACACAATAAATGGTATTTTTATATACTAAGAAAACCCCGCAAAAAAAATTAAGAAAAAAGAAATGCAAGTTTAGTGCATGCGAACAGGCTTAAACTTAGCTCTAGCTATAAAGTAATATTATAATAAAAACAAAATTAATGGTTTTCATTTAAAATCGTAAATTATTTTGTTACAATTAAAAAGTAAAGAAAAACCAAAAATAAATAATAAACAAGAAACAGAAACGCAAAGACTAGAACCACATTTTGTAAGCTGGATCGCTTGAGTAATGGATTGGTGGCAAGTAATATACAATACAGCCTAAGCAAACCAAACAACAGCAAAAAGTCCATTTAGAGAAGCTACCACACAGGAAAGTAAAACGATTATATTGTCATAACTTGCTGAAAAATGATGTCGGCCGAAGAATGCGAACCGGAACTTGAGAATTCCACTCACATAGTATAATTTCCGATTCGGTCTAAGCTATAGAGTAATACCAGCTAAGAAACCTATAACTGACACTTACCCATGCTCGTGTCTCCCCTCACACCTACCTGCTCACCTACCCTCAACTTCGGATTTCCACATTTTCCATGCTTTTCCTCCCTTGTGAGTCGAGAGGACGAGTTTTGAATTATCTAGGCATAAGCACATGTCACAAAGCAAAATGAAAAAGTATAAATATATCTTAATGGCATATATATTTGGCGCTATGGAGTGGAGAACAATTTTAAAGTTGGTAGCGTGTAAACGCTGGAAATGCGAAATGACAAAAGCTGAGAAACTGAGAAAAAACGAATAAAAATGAAATTCATGTGTACAAAAACAAAATTAAACGTGTTTTTATTTGGGCCACACGTAACTCCGCCATTAAAACTATTTCCCATGAAAAGTTCTTTGTAATTTTGTTTTATTGAGTTCTGTTTTAGATTGAATTAATTTCCTGTTTTTCATCAATTCATTTTCATTCATTTCATTACTAAAGTCAATTTCTTGCGATGGCCGATAAGAACTAAAACTTTATATAGCTTACAATTGGTTGGTATAGTTTTAGTTGCCCGCCACTGTCACGAAATATTATTATTGGATAGTTTTTATTTTTTCTAGAGGCTAATTGAACGTTTTTATTTAGGAAAATAAAAAGAAGAACGCGTTGGTATATTTGTATTATTATTTTGGAAGTGTATTTTATTGATGCACTGCAATTTACAAATCGATTTAGAAATAAAACATAATAAATTCTAGGCATAACATAAGATATTTCATAATTGCACGAAAACGAACCCGAGAACGAACTATATCCTGGCCGTAACCCGGCCAATATTACTTGGCCCATATCGATCAAACGAGACGGGAAGCAAAAGTCCAAAGTGGAGGAAGAGTTGGTTGATGACCCGATTTCCTACTGACTGGATGGAATGTTCTTACTATATGTGTCTTGGTTTCTGTGTGTGTGTTGTTTGTATAGGTTTTTTGTTTTGTTTTTTGTTTCTTTTTTTTAAATGTATCGCATTTAAATATAAATTTCATAATCATGTTTCTCTAATTGCGTTTGTTTCAAAAAACTTCATTCATAGTTTGTTATTTTTCGGAAACTCCATTTCTGGCTACGCTTAGATTTAGTTTTTAGGCTGCAAATGCTAAGAAATTATGTTTCTGATGTTTATATATAAATATAATTTTTGTTTTCATTAATTTATTATCATTATGATTTTTTTGTAGTTTTTCGCTTGTGTTTTCGCTTTTTGTCATATACATATACATAAATTGAATTTTGTATATCTGCATTTTGTCTCCTTTCGTATATAATTCCGCTCCTTCTGCTTTGTTTTATATAAATTGAAAACTTAATTGTAAATGTAAAAATGTTAAAACTACATTCAATTATAAATAATGTTGGTTTTTGTTGTCGTATTATTTATATGCAATGTTCGCTCGTTACGTAATAATATTTATAATTAATATTAATTAATTAGCATAGTTTACGTTACGTTTATGTAATTTTTAAAGCAATAACAAGCCATTTCTTTTAATTTCATTTATTCTCTTTTCTAATCATTGCTGAATTAATCGCTTTTGTTTGTCTCTTCAAATGTA